CTCTCTCTCTCTCTCTCTCTCTCTCTCTCTCTCTCTCTCTCTCTCTCTCTCTGATCAGCGGGGTCCAGTGTCATATCTTGTATCAGCTGTTTCTTCCTGATGTTCGGCAACAGTGAGTCGGGGATGATCGCCCTATTGTGCCTGTTTGGTGGCATCAGCATCGCCTCGTGGAACGCCCTGGATGTGATAACGGTGGAGCTCTACCCCTCGGATAAAAGGTAACACGGGATGCACAAACTCATGGCTGTTTTTCAGATGTGGATTTTCTGTTGAATTATGAACTTGTGTGGGGTAAGAGGGGGAAATACAAATAAATAAATACATTTTTTTATTAGTTATGCTTTGTTTTCCTGACAATATTTACTGTTTTTCTATTTTCTATTTCTATTATTCATTTTGGGGGGAGTGGAGGATCTTCTTGCAGGTGTACAGGTGCAATTCTCTCTGTTGATTAGTGATCACATGATGTGTCCTTTAAAAAGAGAGCTCATTGCTGTCAAACATGCTCTGATGCAGGTTTCATGCTGGAACACGTCATCACATTTGTAAGCATTTTGACTGCAAATAAATGTACCCAAAGGATCAACATATGAGACAATTCTTTGGGGTTTTTTCACCTCTGGAGCCTTTTCTGCTGACTTAGATTTTTGGAAGCACAGATATTGTTGTATCTGGTTTTTTTAAATCAGAGTCCCAACTGAACTCAAAAGTAAAAACATCTGCCACTAATTAACACCTTAGTTCATATTTGTTTAATCCACTCAACACCGGAGTGGTAAATAGAGCCTAACTTTGATTAAAGAGCTTTGGAGGTGCTTGTAGGTGGATTTTAATACATTTGGACACAGCCAGACAAGTTGTTTCCCCTTGTTCCCAGGCTTTATGCTAAGCTAAGCTAACTGGCTCCAGCTACACATTTAACTGACAGAACCTTATGTGTTGTAGAGTCACTTTTACTTCAAATGATTACATAGAAAGTCAAGTAAAATAAAACTTACTGTTCAAATACCATAATCTGGCACACTGAAGTTGTGAACTAATGATCAGTAAAGTTAAAACTCCTCTTTGTGTCAGTTGCTGAAACTCTTTTCTCCCTCTGTTCTTGTCTTCAGGACCACAGCGTTTGGCTTCCTGAATGCCCTCTGTAAGGTGGCGGCCGTCCTGGGCATCAGCATCTTCCAGTCATTCGTCGGCATCACCAAGGCTGTGCCCATCATATTTGCTGCAGGCGCACTCGCTGCAGGTAGTTTCCTTGCGACAAAGTTGCCTGAAACACGAGGCCAAGTGTTGCAGTAAAACGGAGCACAGCTGGAGTGTGTGTGTTTGACAACTAAGAGCCCGAACATCCCTGAGAGCTTCAGCGCTGCCCGTCATACACCAACAGAGCAGACTGCCATCCCCATTGTAAGCCCAGAATCCTTTGAAATATGGATTGCATCATTCAGAGTCTATACGGTGATTTAAGAGAGGAGCACACAGATGTAGAAATAAATACCTGTGTCATGATCACACAACTACATCTGAACTTTCAGGTTCTAAAAACATCTTTTTTTCTCGTAAGTGTAACATGCAAAGGGTGATGCAGTACAAATTGTGGTGTGCATGCAGTGAGGATAAAATGTAAATTTCTGGGAGTTTTCTCTCACCGGCCCACAAATCTACAATATTAAACACAATTGAGAAGACAGATATTGCAAATGAAGAGATGAGACTGCAAAATATGCCATTCATGGGAGATGGTGAAAAGATTTAGTCAATGTATGGTTGGTTTTTAAATATGAATGCAGTGTTTTTCTTTCTCGTCTGGCCTCAGTAACTGGCTTTCAGTACTGCGTTTTCATTTGCTGAGTGTACAGTTACCTTTTACATTTCCATTCAGGCGGATATCTCTGCTTTGCCGAAAAGCTTTTCTCTGAACAGATCTCATAATGAATTTCAGGGTGAATATATTTTCTCTAAGAACGCCAGTGACCCTCAACCACTGCCTACTGCTGAAGCCAGATCTGTTTCTACCAAATAATATGAAAACATTCCAGTGAGGCTTGACTTATCCAGAAACGGATAATGCATTATGTCTTTGTCCCCGCATAAATCCAGTCTACTCCTCTACTGAACGCCTCAACACATAGACAGGTGAAGATGCATTTCACAGGATTCTCTCTTGTAAATGGGAATAGTTTGATCCAGCTCCTTAGTGTTCAGTGTTAAACTAATGTTTCCCCTCGCTGGTGTTGATCCATATACGGCTGTGGCAGTGTGATGTCTGCAACACAGGGATCTCTGTGGGACGGATTTTGGTCAAGTGCGTAGTGTGAGGGCAGATACTGTTGTGTAATATTTGTCTAAATTAGTCGTGTGAGTGTGCATGTGTGTCTTTGTTATGTGAGACAAGAGAAAGTGTCCATTTCATGCATTTCAGTGTAGCCACGTAGACCATATCTTGCTGATCCAACAGCAGAATGTACGGAACAACGGTCACACAATTTAAAAAAAATGATGTAGCTCAGGTCTGGTGAAATGTTTAGGCCACGTTTCCAGCTTGTATTATGTTTTAGCGCCACGCTACCAAATTATTGTGCATGCAGGATGGTTTTGTGATATTTCTGATTCATCCATCTCGTATGCATAGTGTCAGTGTGTGAAAACAAGTCATTTGAATAAGTGTGAAAAGTTCATTCTTGACACCGTAAACAGGGGTTTGACAAAAACGTACCATCTTTTTGCAGAGCTTGCAACCACATCTCTTTCTCAGCACTTTGCTTTGTGTTCATAGAGTGGAAGCTCTAGAAGTTATTTATGAAGTTGACCTGGACATTGTTCTTTTATCGATGTCCTTTGGTTGTTTTGACTTTTCCTGTTTGGCCTCAAAACATACACACAATGCAGTATCCTTTCTTAAAATTGTTTGATTTGCCCCTTAAAAGTCACGAGAATTCATTATACATTATATTCATTGTAGCACAAATCAAATGGGACCAAAAGAAGAAGAATCAGTTAAAAAAAGTCAAGTGCAAATCATTTGTCTAATTTCATGTTAAGGGCTCCTGTTCCTGTCATTCTTTCGTGCATCCATTTGTGCCAGAAAAAGTGAAAAGTTGTCCCTCACTGTGTTCCTGCGTGATACTGCTGAATCGAAAAAGTACACAAGAAAATTTGCCGATTTTGACTTTGATCTAAATTGGATGCAATCACTCTCTAAAGGAAAGCTACCATTATTTATACATATCACTACTTCGGTATCATTTCTCCAAAGGTGTGTATCAATATGTGTGCCGACAATCAGTGAGTGAGTATGTGGGTGCTGCTGCTGCCCAGTAGAGTGTGTTGTTTGACCTAAAGACATCCTCTGGATTATGTGTGTGTGTGTGTGTGTGTGTGTGTGTGTATTTGTGTGTGTTCAGGATGTTAGAGGCTTTGGCGTTGTCTGTGGGTGAAAAAACACACACTTCAGCAAGATAGCGGATATTATCTCAGCTATGGGAGTTTGTCTTACTTCTTGAACTGTATGCGTCTGTGTGTGTGTGTGGGATTGAGACTTTAAAAGAATAATTTGACATTTTGATAAATACACTTATTTACTTTATTGCAGAGAGTCAGATGAGAAGATTGATGCCACTCTCATGTCTGTGCGTTAAGTATGGAGTTGAAGCCAGGAGGTGGTTAGCTTAGCTTAGCATAAAGACTGGAAAAGGAGGGGTTTGCTAGCCTGGATCTGTTCAAAGGCAACAAAACCGTTGTTTTTGTAAAGATTAAAAAAAAGATATATTGGTGACCTTTAGAGGTGTTAGTAGGTGGATTTTGTTACCTTTGGATTGAGCCAGGCGAACTGTTTCCCTCTATTTCCAGTCTGTATGCTAAGCTAACCTTCCCGTTTAGCACACAGGCATGAAAGCAGTATGAATTTGATCTTGATGAAGGCCAGAAGGCGAAACATGTTGGTTTAAACAGTAGAGTTGTTCTGTATACTACAAGTGCTGCTGGAGTTTTGACCTCTTTAGTTTAACTTTCACGAAAAAAGCAAATGAGAACTTTTTCTTTAACGCTGTCCAATCTAGATTGCATTCTGAGGATCAAATCTTTCCTGTGCATATTTAATGACAAATGTGTCCCGTCTTGTTCATGCTGGAGAGACTGTTCAGATGTGTTGTTCGTGTGTGTGTGTGTGTGTGTGTGTGTAAACTGACTCTAAATCGTCTGTCCCATATTTTTCTACTTTTTTCTGTTGCGATGTTTTCATCCCTGTGATGAATACAGCTCAGTTGGGGACCACGGAAATATATTTACACAAAGAGAAGAAAAAAAAACAATATATGCAGTGTATAATACAATGTGCTGTTCTTCATGATAGACTCGGGTGCTCTTTTGCTGATACAATTCCGTCTTTAAAACAAAATCCCATCAGAGATAGCCTGCGGGTTGTTGTCCGATTAGAAATACGGAAAAGGATCACATCTTAATTTCACAAAGACAACTTCGCCCTCTAATCCTTCTGTATTCAACCAATTGTGACGCATGTTTGTATCGTGTTGTCTGACTTCTTGGACGTCCTGTATGCCAGCTGTTTTTGTCTAAAGCAAGAACTAGTGTTTTCATTGTTGTATGATGACAGATTTGTTGCTTGCAGTGATTGTTCTTAATCAAAGTGGGGTTAAAATTTATGAAACTTGAGTATGTTTTCTGAAAGTAAGCTAGTAGTAACTGTGTTCCTCCTTTACCTTGGACCCAGGTAACATTTTTAATATATATATATACACACACCTAAATTTTAGAGGTAATTGTGCATTTCATCTCGTCACAGAGGTACAAGAAATGGCCGGGAAAGGGAAATATGCTTGAAGAGAGACGGAAATGTGCATAAATGAAGTACAAAAAGTACAATTTGACATTGTTTGTCCATGTGAGTCTGTTTTAAAAGAGGGAAGTGTGAGCAATAGTGTGGAGGCTTTCCCCAATTCTGAGTAAACAGGACGTCAGCGTTGAATCCAAAGGGACCACAGTTTATCACCTCATCAAAAGAGCTCCCTCTTATCAAATTGAAGCGCCTGTTCAAAATGTAAAAGTTTACTACTTAATGTTACTATGTGTAGAATTTGCATTCTATATGTAAAAACTATCTGAAGGGTCACTGGTTTGAGTTTTATCCATAATGATGGCAGTGATGCAGGATGCGTTAGCGAACACCAGCCTGAAGACGTTAACGGTGGCGGTCTGATAAAGGGATGGAGGACTTTTTATGGCATGGTTTCGGTCTCTACTCTAAGAGCACATGGATCAGTTCTGAATACTGGAAAGAAAATGGCCGACCCATGCCAGAAAACAAATCCCTCATCGGCAAAGAACTGCAAGAATCCTTCACTACAGCGTGGACTGAAGGAATTTATGTTTACCTTTTTCTTTAGTTTGACTCTGATCTGTTTAAATGATAAAAGTACTCTAAATGAGAGTTAAAAAAAAAAAATCAATGTACTTTGTGTAGAAACTGTAGTCGTTTGTACGTGCAAGTTTGGAATTTGTGGAACAAAAGATCAAGGAAAACTATTCCCAAAAAAAATGACAAAAATCTATTGTGTGTTGTCTGTTTTGTAAATGAAGACTGGAACTCTTGGTCAATTCAGTATTTTTTGTTATTGAGAATATTTTAGTGATGCTGAAAAGGTGCTGTATTTATTTTATGTGAGAGTTGTTCATTATGCTGGGATTTGCACTTGTGCCATTTATCCAGTTCTATGAAGCAAATGATAAATTATGGAAATAAAACTTAAGAAAACCAATGTCATGGTTTGCATTACACAGCATGAAGTCAACTTTGTCAATTCTGAGTGTTTAACTGTAATATTAATGTCAGGAGAACTTACTTTGCAACAGTATTTGTCCGAAGAGGCAGCAGGATGACTAAAGGCCAGACAATTCTTAGTTCTTTGCCTCCAATTTAGTTCAGGATGAGATTTTTTTACCAGGTCCCCTTTATATATATATATAAATATAATTCCCATATGTACATTGACAACTAGGTTTAATTGTTCCTCCTGGTCTGTAAAAAGATCCTTCCTAGACTTTGCTTTGAATTAAGGGTCATTAGCAACCATTATTGCTATTGGCTTCAGATGAGTAACAGGTAAATTAAAATAAATGATCAAGTAGTCTCCCCTTTTGGAAAGTCTTGATTCTTAGTGAAAATATTTTATTTACCGATATTTGGCTTCGCTTATGTACAAATTAAGTCAAACATGCAGCTGGGGATGCTTGTAGTTTCCTCTCAGGGAGGCATGTTGCTCACCACACATGTATAATACTCAAAAAAGGTTGTGATCAGTTGCAATCATTAAGTTATAAAAACTACAAATCCAGAAGTAAAGCATCAAACACTTTATTTAAAATAATGTCCCAACTACTGCTGAGAAATGTACATCCAAAAAATGTTCATCTGCTGATCACATGATGGGGTAACAAGCATAGCGAGCGATGCCACACTGGCTGTGTCGGTTTCGAGCCATCTTGATGTAGCCTTCATCCCCGTACTTCACGCCCCAACTGCAATGCAAGAATAATTAAAATCAGAAAACCCAAAATAAGAATCCGTGAAAGACAATCATTCCTGCAATCAAAAATTCACATTGAAATCTTCCAACACCTGTTTTTGACCAGCCAGTAGTCGTACTGTCTCTCAGTGCCGTAGCCCACAACCAGCACTCCATGGTTCACCTTGTGGGTGCATGTGTGGTCCCTGTACACACCTGTAGGACCACATACAAAAAAAAAAAAAAAAGTGTAGAAACAAACCTGAGCTTTAGTTTACAGACCATATTAACATAGGATCCCATTTGAGAATAAACTTGTGCATTATTTTAAGAGGTATGAAGCCACAACTCACCATGACGGTAGAAGACGAACTTTGACTTGGAGGCATCAATAGCTACAGCGATGGGGCCGATGCTAGCCAGAGCTTCCCTCAATGCAACCTCATCCCCCTCCGGTATGAAGGCGTAGTCTGATCAATTAGCAGCCCAGTGCTGAGTGTTATATTTGCATTGACCACGCTGAGAAGACTGATTTGCAGGGGGAGTTCATAGTCAAGGTTCAACCACAGTAGACCTGAAATGTTAACATGCACCGTCTTTGAAGCTCACCTTGCCGACATAGGGGTAGCCTGCGTCAGAATCTATGCCTTGGTTTGTAATGACGTAGTGGAAGGCCTTTGACATGAAGCCACCTTTACACCCTGCGTTGCCGCCTTTCACAGAACAATCCACCAGGTTCTGAGGACTGAGGGATACCAGGACGCCTGTAGACTTATTGAGTTGCCCTTCCAGAGCTCCAACTGCACTGAAGGCCTAACAAGAGCCACAAGAACCCTAGAAGATAGAAAAGTTGCACATGTAGACCATCTCTTCTTCAAAGAAGAAGACTACATTCTATGTTAACGTGTACCGATACTTGGTGGTATACCTCACCTGCATTTTGACCTCAGTTACCAGGCCTTTATCCCTCCAGTCCAGTGACGCTGGTAGAGAGGTGTTGAGCCTGACAAAGTTTGAAGGACCCCTCTCCAGGTCAGAAGGCACAGTGGTGCCCATCAGCATGCCAGTGATCTCCTCAGTTGTCTACAGAATTAAAAAAAAATAAAAAATAAATAAAAATAAAAAATAATTCTTTCAATTCCCTCTGCTTCCACATGCATTGTTTGAGGCAACACAGTATCATGTTAAACCAATGTGTGTAGTAAATATGAGAGTGTAGTCCACTAACCAGATCTCCCAGGTGGTTCATTGCCAGCTCATAGGTGTGCAAGCCCAGAGAGGCTTCAAGGTTATGGACATCAATCATTTCCAAGTTCTCTTCCCATATCCGCCTGCGACCAGACTCCTCAATCTGGAACACACCATTAATATTAACCACACCATTAATATTAACCACATGTGATGCCCAAGTTGATTCATGAGTCACCCTTAACAGATACCAAGAGGTGAAGACACAGACAGTATAATGAGTGTTAAAAAAAAAAAAAAAAAATACAAAAGTATTCCATTAATCATCAAGGAAGAGACAACAAATCAAAATTAGATTTTATGCCTAAACCAGATTCTGTTGTGATTTACAGGCTATTCATTTCATTGTTTTTAAGACCTTAGCGTTATCTGGTGAGAACAGACTTTATTATGAATCTTCTTCCATAGCAGCCAATGTCAATCCCGTTCAGAATTGGTGATGGCAGCGGCTGCTGCAAAGCCACAGACAACGGTGAGACGCAAGCTTCCAAACATCTCCGGATCCAGGAGAAGAAGAACTTGTCACTGAAACAGCAAACACAAAAGGTTCTTATAGGGTGTCCTACATCAGCCTTCTGGTCTGGCTCAGACTTTAATTGGCCAGCTGCAGCTGCTTGAAACACTGCCAGCTGATGTCAATTGACATTGAGTTGCAGAAAAATGTCAGTAGCAAATAAAACCTAAACTAAACCTAAACTGACTAAAGTCAGTGTGGTTGTTAAAGATATTTCTGCATGCATGGAAATCAGTGAAGGCTTATTGTGAGTGTTTTTATGTTGCAAAAGTGTAAAAGTTGATGTATGAAGAAATGCACGTACATGATAAAATTATATATTGTCTATTTCCAATAAATTCCAGATGTTCTGAGTTCATTTAATTTGACAAATTGATTGGTAGAGGATGCTATACAGGTGAACCACTATTCTTATTTACCTGTATACTATGCCATCATTAGAGGGAAACAAAATCAGTAACCAAAGTGAGCACTCAAAATTATTCTTAGTTATCCTCATTTAATGACAAATACCATAAAATATGACCAACCACAGGAGATAACCAGGTGGAAATCCAGGCTGAAGCTCAAATATTTATGCATCACTATGCTCACTGGACACCAACAAATAATTAAACCTCTAATAACTAAATTTGCCACTTGGGGGCAGCAGAGACAAGTTGTAAACACAACATCGACTGTATCATCACCTCCCAAGATGACAAGGCGAATTCATAGTAACAGCTTTAATTTACACATCCAGCTGTTGCGGAGCAACATTATTCATCTGGAGTCATGTTTACGGCCTTCTGGTAAATGCAAGTCCACTATTCACTCTTTTTTTTGCTCTGATATTGGTCTTCACCAACTCCTGGGGGCAATATCTGAGAAATCTGTGTTTTTTGTCCTCTGGCCTCAGGGGGGCAGTAATGAGCCCATTACGACTTAGCGAGGAGAAGAATACGCAGCACGAGAACATCTACTTTTCTGGGGACAAGCGACACAAAAAGGTGATCTGTTTACCTTTAGTTCTACTGTCACTGCTGCTGCTACTGCTGCTAAGTACTGGCAAAAGCTGTTACACAACACAAAGCATATGTATGCCTAATGTTGTTGCTCTCCCTCCTCGCTGTACCATCAATACTTTCACTAGATGGATGAGCTAATTCAAATAAAAGAATGTATATATTTTTCTGTTTAGTTTGCAATGTCACCAAAACAACAACACATGTGAGTGCAAAGTGTCTGAATATCTTTGTGACCACATGTAAAACCTGTGTGCCATTCTTTTAAGATAAGCTCAATAAATGACTGTTCTCCTTGGAGAAGCTAGTGAGGATTTAGGAGGAATACCAAAGGAGAGAAGCTCAATTAGACACAGGCTGGTGACTTCTCACCTATGATTATATTTAATAACTTTATTCAATCGTACAATATTGAACACACTGAAAGCTAATGTTAAGGTTAACATTTAAATAAACACATCACATTGATAAAACAGAAGGACAAATACATGATGAGATCTAAGTGAAGTGAGGGAAACTCAAAAATGTATTAAGTATTCTATAAATAAAATCAAAACATCATTGAGAGAGGCTACTAAAGCAGATACAGTAATTTAGCACAATAAACTTTTTTTGCCAGTATTTTTAACGTTAAGGACTGGTCTAAACAATCAGGTTTCTGATACTAAAGAAGTAACCTTAATTCTACCAAGATGATTCAGGGGATGGCTCACTTTTTCACAGCGTAGGGTAGACTGCAAAGCTGGCAATGCCACAGAGGTTATTCTTGTTTCTGGCAATTCGAATGAAGCCCTTTTCTCCCCACGCAGTGCCCCAACTGAAATCACAAAACCACTTGTCTTTAATGTTGAACATCGGTCAAACATTTATTTTCACATGTGAGGTAAACACATTTTACTTTGTGCCCAGAAAAGACCAATTCACCTGTTTTTCACAAGCCAGAAGTCTTGTCCTCCGTCTGTGCCATAGCCCACAACCAGGACAGCATGATTTATGAGCTTTGGGTTGCAGTTTGGTACGTTGTATAAACCTGGAAGATCCATAAGGTTATCAGTAGTTGAAAAATACAGGTAAAACAACACAAAATATTTTATGAATCACCTGACAGTATAAATACTGCTGATGTCATCTTCTCTATGTACTTTGGAGGTGAAGAAACCCCCACAGTATTACTGGTAACATCATTCATCCCTTGTGTGTAGACGTTATCTAAATTTAGGATTTTGGGAATGGGGACCATTTCATCACATTAATTAGTGGCTCTACTATCAACTAAACTAATTTAACTGAGACTTCATGCTGTCAATCCCTCCTCTTCTTACGTTGTTGATCACTTCTGACAGCTTTCTGTCTATTAGATAAAATACAGTTAACACGTAACAAAACTGAAAATAAATCACATTTGATGTAAGTACCACACAGAGCTGCCCCCTCTAAAGATCTAATCCACTTAGATTTAAAGTGCAATCGATAGTGTATTTAATGGTGGTAACTGTGCACACACAGATTGGTGGTATAGCCTTAGAAGTCTTTGAAAAGTGTATTTTGGACACTCTTGCACACACATGTGAGCTTTAAGCACCCCACAATAGTTATACCCTAAATCTGTCATTCTTTGGAGGACTGTGACATTCACATTCAGTCAAGTTAAAAGACAAATATGGAAGTAAAAGGAAGTCATACTACTTTAAGCATTGGATTTCCCTTGATGGTAGTCGTACTTTTTGCGAAACTTTTACAAATTTTAGAATAAATGGAACAGAAAATGACTGCAAAGCCTGACTTGTTTTTGGCAACCAAAGTATAAAACATAATGTCATGTTACCCATTAAATTCACACAGATATATGTAATGCAACTGATTTCATGCACCACAACCAACGTTTTCCGTTCTCTCGGGTGTGACTCGGACTCAGGGTTCAGAGCTACAGTAACTAACTCATCACTCATCAGTCTGCTTGCATTAAATGCTCAAATTAAGAAGCCTCACCTCCTCTGTAGAGATGAAAAGATTGCAGCATGGCGTTCACGGCCACAGCGACCGGCCCCACTGATGCCACCACAGCCTGCAGGGTCTTCTCATCTCCTTCTGGGAGGATGTGTAAATCAGAGCAGTAGCCGGCCTTTCCCTTGACAGAATACCGACATTTACCGTCCTACAAATAGAAAATCACAAAATATACTATGTATCACTATTTAAACAAATTGGTTAATATTATTTTATTTTTTATAGAAGTTATGTATCCTGTTTGTTATATAGTTGAATATTCACAGAATCATAATGTTATACAGTATATTATGTACATTAGTCATGCGATCACACTGCATATATACAGTGTAAATATGAATACGTATGTATGAATTAAAATTCTCATATCACTTCAGCTAGAAACAGAGCTGTTTTTCTCTGTATTTGACACATCTGTCCAGGTCAAAAATATAACAATAATTTATGTTTCATTATTACATACAATGAACTTCATAAGGATTTAGGGAATCACACATGGCATGATGTCAGATATTCTAAACTACTGAACATCCAAACTAAAATAATTTTCTTGAAAGACGAAGAAAGGAAAGAAAACAAGAAACAAACAAAAAATGGAAGAAAACAGACAAACAAACAAAAAACAGCATCAGCAGTTGCACATTTGTACGTTAGGTCAATCTTTTCTATAATAGCTAGTTGATTCAATAATAATGCTGTTACAGCAGGACGACCTGGTGTTTGTAGGGGTAAAAGCTCTCCGAGTCTACGCCTTGGTTGCGGATGATGTAGCTGAAGGATTTAGAGATGTATCCGCCTCTGCAGCCGTGATTCCCATCGTTGCTGCTGCAGTCCACCAGGTTCTGTGGACTCAGGGGGACGAGGACACCTGTCCGCTTCTTCATCTGTCCCTCAAGAGCTCCTAAAGAGCTGAAGGCCCAGCAGGACCCGCACAACCCCTTGAAAAAGAGAAATGATGTTTATTACCACAGGTTATTTACAGATTGTTTTCATTTCCTTTGTTTAAAATAGCTGATCTCAAATCATGGCTTACCTGGTTTTGGACTGGACTGACGAGGCCGTTCTTCCTCCAGTCTACACTCTGAGGTGTCAATAAGCCACTCCCATCCTTAAAAGTCACATTTCTGAAATGAATAGGATCCTCCAGCTTCAGGCCGTTTAGCTTCTCGTTGACTTCCTCAGCTGTCTTAATAGAAAGATAGATAAGATAAATATAAGAAATGCAAATATTACAATGTCAAAGCTTAGTGATACGTCTTCACAGCAGTGCTCTTGATCACTTTTAACACATTTAATATTGGTACAGCAGATTCCTCTTCCTCCTCTAAAAGTTTCTCTCAAAGATGCACTGAAAGAGCTCTGCTCTAAGAAACAAATGAGCATATACGATGCTGGTTCCTCCTCCTCCCACTAGACTATGGTCCTATTTGGGGAATTAAACTTAAGTATTTAAGTTTTTATTTTGCACATGGTGTCCACCAGCAAGCAATCATAAAATGAACCACAAGTTCCTCTTGCTAAGTTTGAACTTCTGCTTTTAGGAGAAAGAGAACTGAATATAGACCACAAATTCAACATCATTTTAGTTTTACTCGTTATAACATCACACCAGGTCCAGCTTCTCACTTCTTCCCCTTATTTGCTGACAGTCCTGCAGTGAAAAAACCCTCCTTCTCTACAATATCTTCGAAGTCAGCCTCATAAATACCCTTCTCTGTTTTGAGAGCTTTTGACTCCCTAAACCTTCATTAACACTGTTTGTCACAGTTCAGCTCCACACCCTCCTCACTCTTATTATCAGTCACTCCCTCCTCATCAGTCTAAACTCCCTTCACCTGTTCACACACCTGCCTCTGATCAGTAATCAAGCCCCTATATAGACTCCTGCCTCCCACACACATTTGCCAGATTGTTCTTCGGTTCTATGCCAGACTCGCCGGCACACTCGCACGGACTGATCTCCTGTTACCGATCCTGCTTGCCCCTGTTCTACCCGCCTTGCCTGACTCCCGGTAAACCCACCAGCCTTCTGATCCTGACCCTGTTTGAACTCTGCCTGCTATATTTGAAGTTAGTAATAAAAGCCAAAGATCTCTGGAATCCTGTGTGTTGCATTTGGGTCCATATACAACCCGTTACACTGTTTTGCATTTTATTTCATTCTGCTGTACTTGCATTCTGTGCATAATAATTTACTAAAGTATACTAATTTCCTTGCAGTCCATACTCTTTGTAATTACAAAAATTAAAGTTCTATATATCCACAATAAACACTTGAAATGATGAAGGCACTTGCAAAAAACAAGGTAGTAAATAATGTAAACTATATCTATTTTTTTTTTTTTCAGAATCATTTGTTTCTTGTTTGTTTCTTTGAATACTAGAACTGACAAGACACAACCTTTGCACCACAGTTACACATTAGATAGTTTGCATGTACATCCAACTTTTATGTAAGTTTATTAGCCTTCCCAGATGTGCTCTACTTTAAAATTGTCCAGATTGGACCGGCCATACTGGATTGGATTCATCAGATTGTATAAGGATGATTACAGCTGCTCTATAGGTCAGGGTTTAATTTATGCCAAAGAGGGGGCATGTTTAATGGCAGATTTACAGTGTTTGTGATCTGTTTTGCATTATCAGAGGTCAATAAGCGAATGCACTGAAGATTATAATGTCAAGCATACAGTATGTCTGAACAGATCCTGGGAGGGAGAGGAGCCAGTTCTGTGACACATGTACTTCAAAGGCCTTTTGGCTGATAGGTGATTATATTGACAGAAAAGGAGACGGATATACCTCCAGATACCCTTCACTAGTCGGTGCTTAATTTAGCAGCCAGCCAACAAACTTACGGTTCTGTAAAATAAGACTTTGATTAGACTGTACAAACATCAATCCAAGTTATCAGACAGTGATCCACTTTGTTGGGATGATGCAGGTCATAGTTGATTAAGGAAAAGGGGAGGTAAGGAGGACGCAAGTATGCAAAGAAGGACCGAAGGAAAGAGTTGAATAAAAAACGAATTCAAATGGAAACGAGAAAGAGAGAGAAACAAAACCGGCAACAAACGCACTGATGAAAAATAAAGCAAATATACAAACAAAAAGCCAAAAACTAAAACAAACCAAATAAGTCTCAATGAGCACTCAAAACATAATAAATAAAACACAACAAAGTAACTAACATATTGTTTGACTTTTTCCACCAACAGATGTGAGTGAAGATTAGCTTGGTGGAGGTGACTGAAAATCTTCTAACCAGATAAATATGTATTCCTTGTTTTCTTTCTGGTCTTTTACAGTTCACACCCACTGCAACGCACAGCCAAGCAATAGAAACACCTTCCTGGGTTTTTATTAATCATAATTAGTTATTTGTAATGAATATGATGCAAGCAAACAACTATCTAAACGAACATCTGGGTTATTAGCGTTGGATTTATCTCAATAAGCAAATGATCTGTATTTCTAAACCTTCATTCATGCTTTGATACAACCCTTTGCAGTTTAAATATCACTGAATTACATTCAGGCTAAGATTTAAAACTTGTCTCGTTAGGAATCCAACACTAGACAGTTTCCACAACCTTAGAGCAGGAGACTGAAATCACAAACGTATTCCTACCATGTCGGACAGATGATTGAGTCCCATTGTGAAGTTGTGTTTGCCTGCTGAGGCCTGCTGGTTGTGTCTCAACACCAACTGCATGTTCTTCTCCCACACTGCTCTCCTGAAAACGATCTCAGTCTGAAACAAAAACTCTGACTGAATGATCTGATGGTGTGTGTGTGTGTGTGTGTATGATGATGGAGACGGAGAAATTAGGTTCTCACAATCCTACCTGATTATCATAAACCTTGCGATGTTTGATTTGCCACTCTTCCCAAACTTTGTTTAAGACAACCGAAGAGTTGCCGAGGACCTGGACGGCCAAAAGCAACACAGCACACGAAACGTGCATCCTGCAGAGGAAATGACAAATCTAGTCAGATTACATGCACAGATATGATCCTCTTAGCTGACACGACAAGTCATCTAAAAAAGTATTTTTATCGTTTGTGATATTAAACTAAATATCTTTGACCTGTATTTTGACTGTTGGTTGGACAAAACAAGCAATATGACCCTTGAGTTCTGGGAAACTGTGATGAGCATTTCCCAGGATTTCACAACATTTTACGGACTACACGATCAGGGAAAAACTGAGGTAATGAGTCTCCCACAGTTTCAACAGTTTGTCAAGACACACAGTCTCCACTTTGCATTACATCATTTGTTTATTTTAATTCATTGTTGAATTACTGTGAATGTTTCCCAGCATGACTAAATGTCTAAACTGTGTTTTTAAAGCCATTTGCACACTGGCCTCGAAAATACTGAATCTAGTAGCAGCTTTATTTGGTCAAATATATATGAAACGTTTATATACTAAAAAATATTTACTGGCATCAGCCTATAAAATACCCACCAAGTGTTTATTTTCAAATGTAGAATATTGATGAATCCCACAAAATACTAAGAACAAGGCCTCAGTGTCCTCAGTGGTAGCTAGTTCTATACATGAAGTAATTAATTAAGAAACAAATGCTGAGTTGAGCTCTAATTACGCCCAATTCTTGCAAAGAATACCCCAGAGCGTCGGTATGGACAAGCTGATCATCTTCTGTCTGATATATTTCTGCAGTAGAAAATATGCCCATATACATATGAACCTAAACTAAAAACTGTTTTAATTATGTGCACAGTGTTCGTCTAAACTTTAACGACATAAACTGCAATCAAGATATAACACAGTCATGATTGAGAGCAAAGTGAGGCCTGTAACTTTGATGTGAAAGCAGGAAATGCAGCAGGCTGTTTTCTAGCATTGCAGACTGTTTTAAAGATTTCTTCACCTCAAAGAGGAAAAGTTGAAACCTGAGCTTCTTTCTCAGCAAATAGTTTCTTACACACACCATTTAAAACACACACCATACAGCCATGATCAGTCAAAGTGTAATTGCATAACTAAGAAGAGCATTTACCTTGTTGCAGAATAATCAACGGGGTTATTTCGTCCCGGCAAGAAAGTGCAACCGATTTTATTGAACCAGAGAACTATCACACATGAAAGAGGAAGTATAGTTTCCTCACACACACGCCATTGGGTTTTTTTTAACCCTGTCTTTCAGCGCATCTGCTCTGTGGCTTGTCATGTGACTCTAATTTACAACAAGCTATAGTGGCCCCAAAGACCGCTCCAGTACTAGAGGTGGAAGTGACGTAAGTTACATGACAGAAATGCATGTACATGAAACTTCTTGTGGAGAAAATCAGTGGATGGAAAATAAATAATTTGGCATTATTTCGTGATAGTTTAAGTGTGTAAAAAATGTTTGAAAAGACCATCACCATTTCATATTTAATCACTTTAACACTGAGCTGAATTATGTTTGACAACATGGACTGAGGGCAAAAGAAAGAAACTACAATCCAGTTTTACTGCTAATGATACACATTCTAACAGTTTATCATTAGAGCTGCAGTTAGTTTGAACTTTCTGAGGAAAAGAAACATCGTCAAGCCTCTTCACATTCAGACATACTGGATATATAAATGCACTGGGGGTGGTTTAACCTTTGGTTTTCTCTTAACTATCGTTAAGAAGCTATATCGTGCTATATTGTGTGTAAAAAAAAAATAAAAAATCCTTTAGTTTAATTATCTTCCCCAGTGCTTCATATGTACACTAAGTCTTTATCGACAGACTGCAGCAACCAAATAAATAACAAAAACAGAATACAAAATGACGTTTATTAATATCAGATAATATTTCATTTTTGTATGCAAATTGCTGCAGTCCTGTAAGTTCTTGCAAAATCATATCATTTAATGTTATTATTTACAATATGTAAATAATTAAGATGCTGACGTAATTTGCAATGTCCCTGGCTGAGGATCCCCCATTTCTCCCTCCCCTCTTTTTCAGTCATCTCTCCACTACACCCTATCTAATAAAAAAGAGACATCACAGCAGTCACCACTACATGGAGCAGCAATGACGGAAATAAATAATGACAACTATGCAAGGGGATATTATGCAATTAGGAGCTTTGATTTGGCCGAGGCTGTAATTGGCGTTCATCACTGATTTTCTCTTCCGGGGTTGGGCAGAGATTCGCTGATGACCGCAGGTTCCCCGAGGTACCAGATGGTAAGTGCCTGACTCAGCAGCAGCTCTTCTTCTGTGGTGATCAAGCACCTTTTGTGTCCACACACACACACACACACACACACACACACACCTCATAGTCCTGCAGCTGAGCAGAGAGGCAGGCCAATCTGATTGCTTGTTTTAATCTCTTTTTTTAAAAACTGTCATTGAATTGGGAGTGAGTGGTCGCTAAGTAAACAAATCAACAACTCAACTTTATTCATATTGCACCTTTCATACAATCATACAATCATGCAGCCCACAGTGCTTTACACAACAAGACAAAGTAGGACAGACAGACAAGCAAGTAAAAACAAAAGTAGACATCATTGAAGGAAATTTAGCAAGATCAGAAATTACAACAATAACATGTTGCCCAAATTAATGAACTCCTGTTATATTCATGAGGCTCACAGTCAATTATTCAAATATTTTAGAGACCTGAAATCAGATCTGGCATATTTAAATGCATGTTACTGCACACCACTTTTTATTGAAACTTTATTTGTGTTAAATATTATTATTATATGAATTGAGTCAGCTGATATGTTATTATAAGAGAATGGGATCACGACAAATGGGACAAAAAACACAAGGATATATATATATTTACATGGATTGTACTCATTTACAGTGAATATTTGGAAATATCACGATTGTTGGACGTTGTTAGAGAGTTGTAGTGAAATCTAACTACATTATCCCACCCTGTGTGGTTTAAAATTACCTTGATACTTTGTCCAGTAACCAGCATCTTCTGTGTGTCCACATCAGGGTTTAATCTGATTTAAATATTTTTTAGATTTCATGTCAGACCTGCAGACACACATTCGCAGACTCAATGTACGTCCTCATATCATATCTCCTTGTATCCATATTTCTCTGCCTGGTCTCCCTGTTTTCATTTTGTATACTTACACGCAACACATGAAGTCTTTTAAAGCAATCATACTAAGACAACTGTAACCTCACTGTACCTATTACATCCTTAACTATTTAAGTTTACCTCACTCATTTAGGATGCAAAACATTTCCGCTTATTTTTGGCCTCAAGTTAATGTTACCTTTTTGAAATCCATTTTTTATATGTGTATATATACATTGCCTTGTGCTTCTTTTATATATTGTCTGAATTCCTTTTAATAGGACATTTTTAGTTTCAGACTGAACAAGCAGAGCTGAGAGTCTGATGTGAACACCCAAAGTTAGGAGTTGGGTGAGTTGCCATGTTTGCATTCATGAAACAATATTATACATTACAACATTATTCAGAGTTAAACACCATTCACTATTGCATGCTACAAAACCCACCTCGTCATTTTGTGCCACGGTCAGCGTTGAGATGACGTTTTTTTAATGTTTATAATGAGGTAGGATACTGCAACTTGTTCCCAATGGCACATTTGATTCAGGAAATATTTAGTCTCAGTAACTTAAGATGTGACTGAACATTGTTAGAGCTTAGTTTGCACCAAAAGTGTAGTTATGATTGAGTGTTTGCAGTATTTTAAAGATCTAAATACTAACAAGATGCAGACATCTTAACCCAACACTACCCTCCAGGACAGTTGATGTCTTCATCAAACTTTGAAATGGCCGACCAGAGAGCAGAGAAGACATTCCTTTATTTCCGAGTGGCTCAAATTCATTCCCATCTGGTGTTTGCGCCTAAATCTCTGCATTTGGCTGACCTGTGTGCTTGCCTCCTGTCATCCAGTGCAGCGTGTTGGATGCAGCCCAGGAGCTAGTGTATATAATCCCCCAGCATGCACCAAGCACCCGCGCGTCCAGAGCCAGGTTGTTGTTGCCATGAGGACAGCGAAGCAACAGGGAAACCGATTCTGCAGCAACACGCTTCTTCAGGAGTTGAATGTTTCAGAATGGGAGGATGAAGCTATCTTGTTATGACATGTCTGTCTATTTCTCTCACATTGCAGGTTTCATCTGGATTTATTTCTGAGCAACAAAACGTTTTGAAGATGTACTCTGCTCTTTTGAATTATCTGTCTTTGTGCCAACAGTTTATCCAGTGACAATTTCAGAAAAACCCACTTGCAAATGAAATCTTACATTTTTTTTTTACAACATAATTGTGAAAATGGAGCTATCACAATGACAAGCCCTCCAGACTGAAGAAACGGTGAGTTACAATACTTGATTATCTTTTGCTTCTTTCCACACAATCACTGTTATTCTGAGCCTTTTATAATACCATCCACTGTATTTGAGCTCTTGGAAGCCACAGGCCCCAGCAAATAACTGTGATTTCACCTTTGTATGCTGTTTTCACTCTCGAGCATGTACGCTCCCAGAGGAGTTCAGGAGGAGTCGGCCTCCATCACTCAGTGCTCTGGGGAGCTGCTGTCATCACCAGCAGTCAGACTATACAGTATTCCCCAGCTCCATACCGTGTCGAGATAAAATGACCACCTTAAAAATATGAAGGTAAACACAGTAAGAGATGGTTTTCTCCCCGATGCGCTCCTTGAATATTAGACTATCTAGATGGAGTTTCCAAGGAGACCACACGTTTTTAATACAAATCCAATTATTTAAATGTAAAATAATTTAGGAACTCTGAAATACAAGCATGACATTTTTTCAGAGTTCAGCAGAAATCTATCTAAATTCACTTTTGAACTTCTTTAGTGGACATGCTTTCTTTCATATTTTACATTGAGAAACACACCTTTCTGCAAACATTCTCGCAAATATTAGCTACATCAGTCCTACTGTAGTCTTTCTCGCTCTGTCTCTCTTCTCACGTTATATAGTGTTGCATCGTTCAACACAACAACATGTGCGGAGATCTGAGGGTGGCATCACACTTGTTCCCCCCAGCACTCTACTGGCAATTTAAACGTGTTTTTTTTTTTTTAGCAAGTCACACATTTTTTGATGAGCTGATCTCTTAGTCATTTTTACAGGCTGACAGTCGGTTTGCTACCTAGTATTCTTGTTTCCAAGTTAAAAGTAATGATGTCTGTTTACACGGTCATATGACTTGTAAATATGAATTGTTGCATTTTAGAGTTATTATGTGATTACTGATAGCACTTTGACTAACTGGGCAATTGTTCTGCAGTTACAATTAACCTTCAAGCAGTGTTATAGAACCATTGACCCTGGACAACCTGCACAGAAATATATATTTTGCTTTTTCTGCCCCCTAGTGGTACATTTAGCAATGGTTCACATAAAGAGAGATCCTGTGATGATCTGTAGTTGCAACCCCCCAGTCTCATGTACATCTTTGTCACATAATTATGGATCTGAGCATTAAGACAATACTTTGTAAATTAATGTTCTGCTTTTTGCTGCAGCCAAACATTGTTGTGTGGTGTTTGGAAAAAAGAAAATTTGTTCTAAGCTTTAAAGTGGCCATATTTTAGGACAAGAAATATGTGAATTAAGACTTTTATAAGTTCTAAATAGACCAACTGTGATCATATTTGTATCAGTTGGGTATACACTTCTCTTCCCCTCCTGAAATGAAACTACTAAGTTTCATATATCTCACATGTTGCATCTTAAAGGAAAATATGCAAAAGGTAAAAAAATAAATAGAAAAGAGGAGAGAAATATCATCTCTTGATCTTGATAATCCCTTTATAGGATTTGGTTTTGTATTTGGTGATGGGGTAATAAAGTTGAATCAAATCCACATGTTACATTGTCGTACATTATAATCCTCTTAAATAGATTCTACAAGTCTCTACAAAAGTCAAAAGAATAAATGGTCTTTTTAGCTTGCAATCTACTTTCACAGTATCTAAATAAACTAAATATAAAATGTTGAATGTAATAAATGTCACGGAGTATGTGTCACTCTGACATTAATGTGCCTTGAGAGATTATTACAGTAATTGAGCACAGATAATTGAGCAGTCATGTCCTCAATGTTGTGCCTCATATAGTGCAGGTTTACACTTTCTCCCCATTTATACTTTCAAACAGCATTAATAAAACAAAAACAGTGAGCAGCCTTTAGACAACCTGTTCTTGTTTTGCATTATGTTTTTTTGAAATTGACTGTAGATGTGTGAACCTCTGTGGTGCCAACACCATCTTTTAAGTGTATCTTATCACTGCAGAGAATATTAACCTGCATGGAGGTTCATCCTTGACATTTGGGAACAGAATGTGAACATAATAATCTGAGCTCAAAGTCCCTCTTACTAGCTTTGGAACGCTTTCAACTGCCTTTGATGGCGGTCAGTGAATGGAGGCGGTGACTTAGCAAGAAAGCAAACAAAGAAAACCTACTTCCTGTTATCCAAGAGAATAGAAAAAATTAAACTATTATTTTAAGCCACACCTTAACACTACCAGCTGTCTTGTATTCATGTGTTGCAGAAAGTCATATTTCCTCTAATTTCTACTGATATGATGTCAGTAAATATCCCTTTCTTACTCCTTTCTCAGCTGTGTCTCTCATAAGCAGGAAGGCAACCAGATGTTTCAGGGGATTGCCGTCCACCAATGGCTGTGCTGGGGAGCTCTCTACCTGTTGGCAGCGAGGGTGGCATTGTCATCTGAAACACGCCGGCCATGTCCACAGTCCTGCCGCTGCAACGCCGTGCTGCAGCAGGTGAACTGCTCCGATGGCCAACTTACCACAGTGCCCGACATTCTCCCACAAAACACTAAACTACTAAACCTAACACAGAATAAGATCAAGACTCTGGTGCACGAGCAGTTCAACAGTTTGCCACAACTTTTAGATTTGGATTTGAGTGACAATATTATGGCAATAATTGAAGTGGAAGCATTTCTCAGCTTGGAAAGACTGATAACTCTGCGTCTTGCTCGTAACCACCTGAAGATTATTCCTGTCGGAGTGTTTGCTGGTTTGCCAAAACTAAAGTTACTGGACATAAGCAGCAATGAGATCCTTGTTTTTCTAGATTTCACTTTCCGTGATCTAACTGCCCTGCAGTTTATTAAAGCGTCAGACAATGACTTAGTTTTTATTTCTCATCAAGCTTTCACTGGCTTAACCAGTCTGCAAGAGTTGCACCTTGACGGCTGCAACCTCACTGCTGTGCCGACAGAGGCGCTCACACAGCTCAGTGGATTAAGAAGTCTTCATTTTCACCAACTGGGCCTCGCCACGCTGCAAAACTACTCGTTCCGTCAACTAGAGCGTCTCAAGGAACTTGTCATTACTCGTTGCCGCTGGCTGGAAACCCTGTCAGGAAACAGTCTCTTTGGCCTAAATCTTACATCCCTAACCATTAAACACTGTAAGCTCAGAGCGGTCCCCTACATCCCTTTACATCATCTTGTATATCTTGTATACCTTGACCTTTCTTTTAACCCAATCACTGACATTCATGGGAACCTGTTTGGAGACTTGCTCCGGCTCCAAGAGCTCCATCTGGTAGGCGGCTCATTGCTACGTATCGAAATCGGAGCATTTAAGGGTTTGGCTCATTTCAAATTGCTGAATGTATCTAGAAATCTTCTCACCACACTCGAGGTGGGAGCTTTCCATTCAGTGGACACCCTAAAAACTCTGGGACTTGATAACAACCCACTAGCATGCGACTGCCGTCTGCTGTGGGTGGTGCCAAGGCGACTGAATCTGGACTTTGGTGGAAATCCACCGACTTGTACTACCTCAGTTCAATTGCAGGGACTGTATTTTCTAGACTTTACTGAAGCTGAGCTACCAGGCCTGCTCACATGTCGGCAGCCTCGTATTCTGAACCGCAAACCTCGAGAAGTGAGAGTAGATCAAGGTGACACGGTGGTGGTTTATTGCATTTCAGAAGGTGACCCTCTGCCATCTGTCACCTGGATAAGCCCACAGCTAAAACCTCTATCTCCCATTGGTAGAATACGAGTTCTCTCTAATGGTACGCTGGAGGTTCGCTACGCTCAACCTCAAGACAGTGGTGCTTATCTCTGTGTGGCATCTAATGCGGCAGGAAATGACAGCCTGCCCGTCAGCCTTCATGTCCGAGCCTTTCCATCATCTTCTAAAAAACTGTTTCGTCTTAAAGGTTGGTTTGCCTTTCCGTCTGCCTCTCCAGGTGTGAATGGAAATCAGAATATCCCATTTGATGTCAAGACATTACTGGTAGCTGCAACCATTGGGCTTCTTTCATTTTTCAGCTCTGTCAGCATATGTTTCATCTTCATGTTCTTCTGGAGTAAGAGTAAAGGCCAATTAAAGCACACAGCCACGATAGCATACGTCCCGCGAAGCACCGTGTCAAGTAGTAACGGAGGGAAAGGCAACTATATGGAGCCAAGCAGGTTCACCATGAAACTAATATGACTTTCACGTGGTATGACTTGGTGCATTCAAATGTAAAACTTGTATTTAAATTTACAGAGACAGAATTAATTTAATTTTGGAGCGTGTCAACTTGTTTCCAACAGAGGCTGACTGTTGATTAATTCATATAAATGTAAGCATGTTAGCTAGAACCCATATTATGCATAGTAAGTAAGACATACAGTGAATTGTGCTGGTATAAGCCCTTCTGGACATAACTAGGACTTAAGTTACATTTTAGGAACATCTAAACTAGCGGGGGACATAATTGATGAGCTTTTTTTTATGCCTGTCTAGCTCCACTATAACAAAGCCTGAATGTAAAGCAACTACAGTAAGCAATATTTAATTATGCATGTAACATGAAGATATGTAAAGTTGTTTATGCCTTTGTTGACGTGTATATATATGGAAGCAATTTAAGAACTTGTTGGTTTTGTACATTTAGTTTGAAATAGTCGATTTTTTAATTGAAATTATTACCTCAGATGTTAACCATGTTAACCTTATATTAAGGTTAATGTACACAATATTTGCATATAGCATGCCATTTCTACATAATTCTATTAGATATTGTTTGCTAGAATACTAGAATTGGCACTTACTGCTGTACTCATTATTTAATGGATGTGTAGAATGTGTGTTTTCATTAAATTCCCAAATAAAGCTCTTCATTGGTTTTCTTTCTTAAAGTAGCACACAAAAAGTATTGTGCTTTCAAAAATGTCATTTAGTTTTGTTTGTTGTGCTTTTTCAGTGGTTCTTGGTCCAAAATATACATAGAAACATCAGATTTAGTAAGCATTGTGTTTGCTCTTTGAATCCTTAAATAAATGATTTTAACACTAAATTAATAATATCAATAGCTATATGTTAAAGACAAGCACAAAAAATGAATATTTAAGTTAAAGTATAGCATAATGGTAGACAGTGAGCACACATATAAGACGTTGTATCTTCGAAACATTAATTTCCTTTGAAACAAGCCGATGACCAAATTAATAATTTAAAGATTCAAGGATCATTTATTTACACTATGCAACACAACACAATGCAGTTGTAGCCCATTGCTACACAAGAAAAACATGATGAACATAAGCAAAACAGTTGTGCATCCCATGCCTTTTTAAAGAAATAATACGATGTGAAGCTATTTCAAGTCCAATTGTATACACAGTTGTGTACAAATCGTTTATTTCATCAAGTCAACATGCATAAATATGAATATTTGAGCAGTTTTATTTTGAAAAGAATTTGGAAATTCTAGACCCCGGAAGTACATCAGTTGCACCGGATGTAAGACAAGAAGACAGCGGCAAGTCTTATGAGTTAGCTGTGCACTTAGCTTGTGTTATTGCAGTAAGCTAATATGAAACACTCTTTTTGCATGTAAGCGTGAATTTAAGGAGTATTCATAACTTGAATAAATATGGATACGAACAGATAATAAAGTCAGTAACGCGAGAGTTGAAAGAGGAGCCCCAAAACAACCTATATTTGTTACGCTAGCACCACACTAGCTAACATTTGTTAGCATTGTTTAGATATCGCAGCCATGACTCTGGCAGTGGACCGGGAGCCCAGAAAGACTGCGGGTAACCGCATGTCAAAGGTATTGGATGCTGAAGAAGAGGATGAATTCTACAAGACTACGTATGGCGGCTTCAGCGATGTGAGTAACCAAACGGACAGATACAGTGAACTGATACGATAGCTAATACGATAGCCCTCCGCTAGCTTGTGTTGGTGTCGGACGAATACTCTGATTTAATATTCGTTAAACGATTTCCCCAAAAGGAAGACATCATATTCGATTTTAACTGACTATAATCGATAACTTAACTTATTTTATTTGTATTAAGCATACATACAAAAGGACAGATTTGACGTTTCCCCTTAAATAAATCACCACAATTAGTCAGAGGCCACAAAAAGGTGCCGCAGGACAATTCGTTATCTTGCAGAATACCTGTGCAAGATACAGTTGTTATGCTACTAATCATAGCACCCAGTAATACACTATTTACATTGGAAACAAGTCTGTCTCAGTCACAATACTCAACATGAATTTGACTCCAATATGTTGAATGTATTAGAAGTAATCAGGTCAAGTAGCATATCAAAAATTGCTCAGACTGCAGATTTTGGAAAGTGAGACCAATATTCATTGGCATGTGTTTCTAGTAATAGTAAGAGCAGTAAAATGTATACAAGTAGATATTAACTAACATGGAAAGGATGCATCAACAAAAATGTGCCTTCAATTAAGGCCTGCAGCCGCTCTGGTTATCAGAACCACCGTGCCAATGTGATTCACCCGAAACTGTGACCACGACTCGATAATTTCCTGTCCCAGTCTATCTTAACAGCTGACAAACTGTGAAGGCCGGAGGAGAGTGCCAGCCTTTTATGCGTCATCACTTAAAGAGAGAGAAAGGCCTGTGTTGTGTGTCAGAACATTGAACGCTGTTGTTTGATATTGCAGCTACTTTCTGAGTTGCATCCTCGAGGTAATTTTCTTCAAGCAGCTGCTAGTTTAAGGGTCAAGGGATTTCTGGCAGGGGCGGCTGTGACTTACATCTCAGCTGAGGTTTACAAGAACAGCTCAATAAAGAGAGATTCTCCCTCATTAAATCTCATACACCCAACCTTGCTTAGCACACATGCACATCACTGAACTTAACTTGACTATACTATGATACATTAGTCTGTTTTAGCTCCAAAATGGTGGCATGCTATCTGTTTGAACTTTACAAAATAGTCTAAATACAACTTATAGAAATGCTGCCAAACAAGTTCTATGTTGTATTCTGATTCTGAATGTTGGCCTTTTTGTTTCCTTTCAGGAACCGGGAGATGATGAGTATCACGGAGAACATTCAGACACGGAGGATGAGGTGGACAGCGACTTCGACATCGATGAGGGCGACGAGCCGGACAGCGACAAGGAGGACGATGCACCTCGGAGGAAAAGTCGAGTGGTCACTAAAGCATATAAGGTAGTGACAATTACTTCAGCAGCCTTCAGACTCTAAATCAAGTTACTTCATTAAAAGTAAATTAAATCATATTTATCAGCGTACATTCATATTTTAGAGGCTTTTTTTTAAATTACAATGCAGCATAAAATGAACTGCTCTTGTGATTTACGAGTGTTTTTATTGACAGATTCACTACATGAACACACAAATTCATACATGAATGAAATAGATTTCTTTGTCTTTGTTTAATCCAAGGAACCAATAAAGGTGGCAAAACCCAAACCCAAAAAACCCTCCGAGGAACAGAAGAAGACGGAGAAAGTCAAAGTTGAGCTCAAAAGGAGGATTCCACCAGAATTCCAAGATTTTGCAGAGAGTAAGATTGTTATTTTCAGATACCGCTCCATAAATGATCCAAAAACACTTGAACAGTTTAAAACATAAACACCATCACATGATGATTACATCACGACTGCATCAGAGGGTCAGTTTTGGAGAGGATTCTACCTCTTAAGGTTTTTTTTTTTTTACTTTATGCTTTTAATCTCTTTTTAGCTCGGAAGTCTGTGCGACAGTCCACCAGTGAACACACACGAAAGACCAACCTGCGCTTGCAAGAGCGCCAGGATGCCCCTCGGCGACGGAGAGGGGCTCACCGGGACCGGCCCCTTACTCAAGACGAACTGCTGGCTGAAGCCAAAATAACAGCCGAGATCAACATTCGATCTTTAGGTAAGAACACGTTAGTCATGTGACTCAAGTGTTCCGTCTTTAGTAGAATGTTGTGTCAAGTACTTTTGCCAAAGCTTCAGCAGATGCGTTACAGTGATGACTAACATGAACAAACAGTATGTCGGACTTCATCAGTGGAATTTGTGTTGGAAATACGGACGCTCTTATTCATTTAAATTTCTGTGTGTAGAGAACTATGAACGTCTGGAGGCGGACAAGAAGAAACACGTCCACAAGAAGCGTCGTTTTGAGGGTCCAACCATCCGTTACCATTCGGTCCTGATGCCACTAGTCTCTCACTCAGTCCTGAAAGAAGAAAATGTGGATGTTGAAGGGTACGTGTGCTCTACTGCTAGGCTTAATTGGCTTCGGGAAAAATGTCTTTTTAGGTTTTTGTCAGCTAGAATAGTCTGCTTCAACTGCATTGACTTCCAGTATTTATTGAAGTATGACAATGTTAAATCAACAGCATGTAGACTTATGTAATGATTTCCTGTTCTTAAAGGTTGGATCAGGATGTCCCTCAGATGGCACCACAGAACCCATCTACACCGTCCCAGCAGGCTGCCGGAGGCCTGTGCTCTCGTACATATATAACATTCAGCGAGGACGAAGCTTTCGAGGCGTCCTTTCCACACGGCGCCCAGTCGAGTCCTCCGCTGCCGGTCCAGGAGGTTTGTCCCGTCACCCACAAGGCTGCGCTGTACAGAGACCCGGTCACTGACATACCTTACGCTAACACGCGGGCCTTCCGCATCATCCGAGAAGCGTACCGCAAATACGTGGCCGCTCACGGATTTCCAAACACTTCGGGTGGGGTGACGGGACTCGATTCCTCGGCAACAAAGGCTTCCCGCCAGAAAATGTCTGTCAAGCAGAGTGCTATGGCAACATAGATTAGTTAAAAAAAAATGATTCATGAAGCAAGTCGGTGCCTATAAAAACACAACCAGTCTCTGTACACCACCATGGCTTAAATACCTCTTCTTCACTCAGCTGTCCACATCTAGTTTCATCTCCATCCATACAAACTTCCTGTTGCACCAGAGATTAGAATTGTTGGGATATATTAGTCTGTGATTAATGTGTTACAGATTTTTTTTTTTGTGCTACTGTTGACTCGACAGTATGAAATTACAAGAAGTAAAAGAACGTAACAACGTTACCACAACCAAACACGTTGGTACATTTTTTTTGAAACTGCAAAAAAACGTCTTACTTGTGTGTCTGTTTAAAGAAATGAATGTTGTGCATAAAGGCTCTTACAGGAGTCTCTGTCTGGCCGTATGTGGGTATGTCCTTCGCATATCTCGACAACCGTTCATCCGATCTACTTCACACTTGTCACACTTTACGGGTGTATTGTAGGACTGCCGTGTCTGCAGTAGTAGGGGCGGGGCTTCAGGCCTCTGCGGAGTCCAGCATGTTGTCTGCATGACTTACATTCACTGCACTTCCATTCGCTGCTGTGTGGTGGACAAAGCCGGATAAAGTCACATGGGTGCCGGATATACTAACGTTAATTGGTTAACGGAGAGCGGATTGTATTTCACCCGTGTGAAGTCCTGTTCACACGGGTGAGTAAATCTGCATTTCCCCGGTATATGACTTGATACAAACTTAAAAATACCATATAATTAAATCCAGGATGTCAAAACAAGTGACTAATACGCCTATTTGGAAGTACCGCTGTATTTCACTGATGTTTCTGACCTTGTGTCAGTAGGCCACTCAAACCTTTTATTTTTTTTAAGTGAAACTATTAAAACAAATAATACCGCACAGTAAAAGTCCTGCATTTTACATTTTTACTTCAAGTAAAAAGTGAAATAGAGGCATTATCAGCACCATGCACACAATGCATTATATTACAATTGTTCTATTTTGTGAGTTGAATCTGAATTACCTGCAACAATACCATTTTATTTATTTTTTATTTTTGTGTTTCTAACCGCGAGTAGCCGCGATTCGGGCTGTGAGGCTAACTATGTCATGGCAGGTGTATTGCTCAAGACACAAGGAGGTGCAGTGTGGAGTGTGAGGTTGTTTGTTTGAGCGATTCACGAGAAAGCTGCAAGCAGTGACACCACAGGCCGAGCGTTCGGCCCGTTCTCAACAGACAAGTTCTCAACGGAAACCACACTAGTAGATGAGAAAGTACAGATTGGCTTTGGAAGAAAAGTAGTTCTCCATCTGCACGTAATTTTCTTAATAAAATGCCCTTTTTTTTTTTACTGTCAATATATTCGATTTCTACAAATGTTCATATCTCTCCATAAAAATACATATTTGCAGCTTAATATTTTAAAATCTGTAGTCATGATTTACAGCCTGTAACAACACATCCATCATATTACAATGAATTCCATCTGTGATGCCTTCACAACTTCAAGTCCATCCTGAATTCATTAAAACTAGGTTAACCTTTACCCAGAAGACAAATGACAACGTTTCCTATTTGTTTTTAAAAACCGTAATCTAGCATTCAGTCGAATGTCATTACTGAAATCACTTGAGATGACCCAAAAGCTTAATTTACAGTTGATCAAAGCATTCAAAGCTGTAATTCCTCCCTGCTGTCGTTAATTGCTACATTTTAACAGAACAACAAGCATTCAAATATAAAAGACCTTGTATGGTTTGTTATTGATAGCAAACATCTGTTTCATCGAAGTTCAATGCTTTATTCCGTCACATAAATCACATTACAGTGTCTGAATGAGCCAGACAGTCGACTTTACAAGCATTTTGAATACGTTTGAGTCGCCCGTGAGTATTAGAAAAGGTGTTATTTCTGTTCCTGGTAAATAACAGAAAGTTGTTTTCAGATCCAGTCTTGAATGTCACAGCGAAGAAAACTCCTGCTATGTTGAACCCTCTAGGACTTTAAATGATGTTTTCTCTATTTATTCTGTCAGGGCACAATCACAGAGCTACAAGGTTCCTCTGAACTCCGCTGAGTGTTTGTCTAGCGTGTCACCTTTGACCCCTCTCACACTGAACAAGAAGCTCTCCCCTGAACAGCTTCCTGTAGCTTTCGGCCATCTCGACCACTCTGTGTTACATAAAAAACCCCACAGGGGAGCAAACATGATGTAGATGTTTAGTCACCCAGGGTAAGAATCACGCTCCTGAAACACAATGAGGAGCTTTCACATTATTTCTATGATCAGGTTGTTGTTTCAGCGGCAGTTGTGACTTTCACACTTCAGTCGGAGACGTGATTGGTGAAGCTGACCGCGAGTTCCTTTTGGAGTTTCAGGTACGAGTCTTGCCGCGTCGGCCTTCATATCAGTTTAGCCTTCAGCAGATGGTTTGGGCAGTGATTTTTTTTTACGATTTGAAGGAAAGCTCCTAAATTTCAGATTTCACGTTGCTGCCAGAAGGATCATGTTGCATTCAAGCAGATTTCCTCCTGCTGTTCGTCTAATGTCCTGATAATGTTGAGCGGAGCGTCTAGCTAAGCAACCAACCATGTCTCTGTCTTAGACACACAACAAGCTCAGGCTTCTTTTGATGTTTACCTGTCAGCTGGTCTGTGATGAAGGAAAAAAGAAAATGCATTTTGCATGATCTCATGTAGATCTCACGTAGAACGCCCACTCATATCAATTTAATAATCAACGCTTTTCTTTCTTATCTTTTAGAAAACTGAATGTCTTTGTCTGGTTTTTAATTGTTGGTGGAGAAGAAGAAGCAATTTGAAGACATTAAATTACATTCTAGGGAATTGTTATTGGCATGTTTCCACTATTTTATGTTTTTATAGATGTGATCACTGGAAAAATAATATTCAACTTGTCACTTGTGAAGATTTGCTACTTTTTTTTATTTTTATTTTAATTTTTTTTTTAATTTTTTTAATTGTTCAGAGAATATCTTTGGTTTTTGAACTGTTGGTCGTACAAAGCCAAATATCTGAGGATATAATTTTTGTAGTATATGCTGACACGTTATAGACCAATCGATTCATCGAGAAGATAATTTGCGGATTAATCGATAATGAAATGAACCATCAGTTGCGTTCTTATTAAGATTTCTGTCTTCCATGACGTAATCTCTACAGACAGACGATGCATTTATATGCAGGCAACAGGACAAGTTTTTCCGTTTGTAGTCCGAGTAGTATTGATCAATCACGTTTGAGCAGGCCTTGGTTAAATGCAGGTGAACAGTCCGTGTGGAAAGCAAAAGCGATCTCTGAACCCAGCGGCTATTGTCTCGACGATGATTTAGCTTTTGATTGGTTTAGAATTAGCTTGTAAACTGCTACTTGTTAAACAATCCGGTCATACTCTTCTCTCTCTCATATCCAATTCCAGTGTCATATTTGAAGTTGCTCATCGGCCTGTAAACAATCGAGCAGTGCACGGCTGGCTACACCGGAGCCCAAGAAATATGGCCCCTCGACCCAGAACCCTTTCTGTCTGACGACAGAAAGGGTTCTGAGATCGCCCGTGATGAACTGCTCTCTCAAATTGCCTAAGCTTTTGGAGGTGTAAATGGGAAGGCAACACATTGTCAATGACAACCTTTTTTATAATGTCACTTTGCACAGGTGAAGGTGAACAATAAGTGCTATTAATTGTGACAATGCTCTACTAAAAGGAATAAGTTAATTATCCATTATACAACAGGACTTCACACAAATATGAGCATTCATTTTTACGTCATCATAAATGCAATATTGAGGGCTGTACCTTAAGTGGTGACATCATCGTTCCTTTAACGCACCAGGCTGCTCAAATGAGCAAATGTGCTTCTCTTGTCAGTCAGATGCTCTGTCATGACACAAGTCATCGGGGTGAAGTGAGGAGCAGAGGCGGATCGGCCATCTGGAAGTTTTCCTGGTTCCACGACCGACCTTTCTTGCACTGTACTTTTCATATGCCGAGTTGATGGTGACCGACTGTTTACACTTTGTCGTTAATTTGTTTGCCCGGCTGTCATGATTAACATCGAACCCCACTTGGACTGAGATGGCCAAACAGCACAGATTGATTCTTTTTTTCTGGGAGCAGCGTGAACAAGTATTCGCTATGATAACGGCAGCAAAAAAAAGGGTGGTGGGTGTAGCAAAGACGCATTGTCTTGAATGATCTCACCAGCTGTTTTAGGAATAAGATATGTAATTTAGCACGCATTGCGTGCCCATCTTGTTGTCGCATTTACGCCCCAGGTCAAACTGTGTTCAGCAGAGTGCAACTTGACTTTTTAAGGACAGAAGATTACAAAGAACATGTCGCACAAAGCCACGTCTGAAGGTTGGTGTGACTTTCCACCAGCAGCAACAAGCAGGAGCCAGATTGGAGAAAAATGCGTTTATTTTATCATGCCTTTTTAATTCTATCAACCTCAATACTTGTTCTTTGAAGGCAACTGCTGCCCACACACTGTGCCACTTGCCTTGGCGAAGAACAAAAAACACATTTAATTCAAAAATAACAAGTTATCCCTTAAAGCGATGATGATGATGATGATGAATTCAGTGTCGGGCTAAAGCCAGAGTCTCTGGTGGATAGACGGATGTAACGGGATGTAAAATATAATAAGAGAAGATATTTGGCTACTAGTTTATTCTTTTAGAAGCATTGCATTGAAAACATTTATCATATCATATCTGCAACATCAGAATACTGAGTGCTTTGTCTCCCACATACTGCACGGTGCATACGGCACCAATTGAACAGTTTTTCAGCATCGGAGGAGAGGGAACCGCATTATCGCTGGTTCTAGTGTGGTAGTTGCCATGGAGACGAGTGTAGGTGGTGTACTGTGCTGTTCTCCGAGCTTCACTCCTTCCCTTGTCCTCTCCCCTCTTCTGTCGGCCTCCCTCTCTCTCTCCCTCTCTCTTCTGCTATCTGCAACATCCGCGCAACTTTCATTCCTTCTTATAATTCCGCTTGTTTTTAATTCTGCAGGATTTGGATTGAGCAAATGTTCAGTTTGAACCACACTCGCATTAAGCATATAGCCTGTAACTACCCCCCCACACACCCCCCACACCCCAAAAATACATAAATAACCTCAATTTTCATAAAGTAAAATTGGATTGAGATCATTTTAGTTTCTACTCTTTGTGGATTCAAATGGTTTACATGAGTATCACATTACTCATGTTCTATGACGGCCTTTGTTATTCTGCTTACACCCCTTTGTCCCCCCCCCCCCCCAATAGATTAGTTTCTTGCTGACCATCCAAGTTCTTCTTCATGCTTTGTCAATTGCTTCTTTTTTTTGCAGAGCTGCTACTCTTTTTATCAGTTGCCATGGATATGTATGTGTTTCTGTGTGAGAGTGGGATGTTTCATTTCCAGTTCATGTTTTTTTTTTTTTTTTTTGGGTGTATTTGTGAAGACTGCATGTGCTTTCCAGTGTCCCAAAGTTGGTCTTTGACATCGGCTGATGTTTGCTTCTCCCCATCCAATCTCGTCTTGCATCCTATACTTTGCTGTTGTAAAGTGGATCACACTTTAAATCCAAATAAAAAAGGATAATAGTGAGTAAGTAAGCGTAATGCATTGTTGTTTGTGCACTTTTAACAGATCCAACCTTTAAATGATTAATTTAGAGGTTTATTACCATTTAGGAAAAAAGGGTTATCTTTAATCACGTCTCAGTTTTCTAACCGTTTCATATCCACCAGCGTCATGTCTGTGATATAGAGACGGATGAAGAAATAACCGGGTTACACCGTCTTTAACCGGGATTTATGTAACACAGTCTTTATATATGCCCACGAAATGATCTATGACACATTCAGGATATAACAATTAGCAAAACACATTTTTGTAACATGTTTACATAGCAGGTATAAAAAATACAAAATGCTTTGAAGCATAACAATTGCTGGTGCCTCCACACTTTTGCACCTATATGGACAGTGTTTGTTGGACTGTCAGGCATTTTTTTCAGTTACCATAATTAAAGGGATTAGAGAATATTAAAATACAAATGAGTCACCCACAGACTGAAAAAACCCAACACCGAGCACCTTAAAGGACAGGTTCACATTTTTTCCAACTCTGTCACATGCCCATATGTACACTATAAGAGTTATTGGACTTTGCTTCTATTCCTCCTCCACACACATGTAAGCATCTGTGAAGCAACTAATCCCACAGTCTTCCTCGTGTGCAAAAGCTTATTTTTAAATCCAGCCGAAGCTAAAAGGACAGACACTCTGCTGCTTACATGAGGATCAGTTTACTTGTCATTGGGAAAGACTGGCTTTTACCAGACAGGGGAAGTTGAAGAATAGATGCTATGGAGTTGACTTATGGGAAACCTATAGCATCCACTGTTTTCGGACCTTGATGCATACTAGGGACTAACTGGTCTGTTACTCAAACTGGACTTGATCGTATGTCATGTCTCACTGTACCTGAAACAACATTTCCCCCACCAACGCAACATTTTGTTTAAAGGCAGGGCTGATATCAGTCTGAACGCCCACTAAACGTCTGGGTATCTCTGCCTCTGCTGCTTTGAATTTAATTATTCTTTATGAGTATGGACTAGAGAAACGGTTCTAACGATTACTAATTCTCTCAATGTTACACACAGGCATGTGAGTGTTGTATTAAGATAGACTTGAAAACATCTGAATCTGTTCTTTAATCGGTTTCTGTGGCCGATTTGAATGAACTTTAATGGCCCATGTGATACATCTATCCTTGGCAATAGTAGTGAGTTAGGGGCATTATTCCTATGCTGACATATTACATACATTTTTGGAACATACATCATGTAAGCAACTAGATGTTGATGGTATTAGGGCCACAATGGGCACAACATCTCTCTTATCATGTGCTTTTTAGTATCATGTCCAAAAACTATTTCTAAAGTCTGAACCTTTGGGTCCTCTGGTTAACATATACACCATGCAGCTTCACATACCACTGTCTTAATAACACCTTTAGATAAAATAATATTCGTACGTCTTGACGGTTCCTCAAGCTTTAAAAGCATCAAAAGATAATTTTATGGAAATGTTTCAGGTGTGCAAGCTTGAGCCTTATTAGCAGTGCAGCAGCCCTACTATAAATAAGACTGTGTGAGACATTAAGCCCAATATACATATTCAAGAAGTAACTTGGATGAACTTTGTTGTACTCCCATCGTGATTATGCAGCGCAGTGGGCGGCCGGCCGTTATCATTTAGTTTTATTTTCGGGTGTAACAAACTCAGAGACGGAACAGCGCAGGGCGGACTCGAGCTGCATTTGGAGGCGTTGGTTTCTGTTTCTGTCTATCTCACGCGCTATCTCCGCCCTCAAGGGATAGACTTCAACGTTTACCGACCACCTTTTTTTTTTTTTTTCACGCACTGCTGTTAAAATCAAAATTAGGTGTGACGGACTGCAAGAGCGCAAAGGACAAACTGCGTTAATTTACCACCGGATTCCCCCCCCTCCTCGTTATGAACGTCTGGATTTTGGGGACGTCGTTATGCCACGCAGGGTGAACTAGAGCCGCTTACCAAGAAAAAAAATCACCCGAGCTAAGAAGCGAGGAGCACGTCAAAAAAAAAAAAAAAAATGTGCATGAATCAGATGCTGCTGCATATCATCGGGATACCGCCTGCAAAAACCTCTGGGATGTTTATTTTTGTGCTTTTGTGATTTAGTGCGCTCAATTTGCAGCAGGTCCGCGCGCTGCTCTTGAGTTGGCGTAGCCCACAGCGTCGCCTTGATAATTATCCTCATTTTGATATCGGTAATCGGGGGGATTCATGTGCAGTAGTTGTAACCATGCAGCACCCGTGTGTTGGGTCGTGAATCTCTGCGGTGTTTTTCAATGTAAATATAGCCTAAGTGATACATGATGAACTAATTGGCTCCGTGGATCTTCAGAGCAAACGCGCTAATAGGACTTCTTATCGTTCCCTCATCATAAAGCGACGCAGGGGGGCTGTTTGAATTCACATGTGCCCAGAACAAACAACTAAGATGACAAAACCCGTCTTCAGAGGAGATTCTCTTTACTGCCGAGGAAACTGCATTGAGATCACATCTCAGTTCCTGGATTGCAATAGAGTTGGAGGACAGGGAGCAGAGGAAGAAGAGAGGGAGGAGAAGCAGAGGAGAGCTGCTGAGCTGCACAACAGAGCCACTGCTGACAGGCGAGCTTTGGCTTCCGTGATGGACTGAGCTAAAGGTGACGGGACCCCTGTGACAGCCAGCTTCACCTTTTTCCTCAACAGCATTCACACTTCACAAAGGCATGTATGGACACACTGCAGCATATAGGTGAGAACAGGAGGAGCTGCCCACATTGAACACATGAAATTGGCCTGATGATTCAAATACGACTGTCTCTCAAAGTGGACAACACTGGCCTTTTATTTGGAAACGGTCTCTCAGGTCTGCACAAACTGATTCTACCTTTGTCCCGAGAAATAAGTAAACCTGGAACCTCAGCCCCTTCCCAAGTGCCCTGGAAACCCACCGGATTCCGTCTGCAACCACAGATGTAACTAAGCTGTCAAGATTTCGTCGCCAGGAAGTCCTGTGATTTTGGGTAAGTGTTGTACGCATGCGTGGGCGGAAAGTAAAGTGATATTCTCCGATTATCTATCCCGTCTCACAGTGAAGTGTTCACCAAATGTTGGTGGCAGCTGGCCTCTGGAGAGGCTCTCTAATCGTGCTGTTGAAGCTGGTCGTCCACCTTACAGCTTGAATATTATTCTGCAACACAGGCAGGAGGGTCTCTACCAGCTGTTCGTACTCACCAGAGTTGTTCAGGTGTGGGGGGGGGCAGGGTCTTGCTGAACCTGTTGTTAAGGTGATGCATTGTAGGCCAGATGACCTCCAGTGACACAGTGAGTAAATTCAGCCAAAGTGGGAGATAAGTACAAAGGTAGAACATTTAAGATTTGCCTAATAATTGTATCCAAACACCCGGGTCCTTGTGAAAGTTGTCTTTCATGTGTTTCATGGTGCATTTTTTTAGGAATCATTTTACCAGTTTATGTTGGAGACATTCTCCTAAAAAGGTGTAGGTCGTTAAGGGAATTTGGCACAAAAGCAAAATGAGCCGCTGTTGTGATTTGATTGCTGTACAGCAAGGCTCCCCTCCTCGAGCATCGCCCAGATGAGTGTTTGATAAGACAATTTATGGAGGGTTTCCACATATAAAGTCAGGATTATGCACCATGTTCTTTCCAGGATATGAGGCCTTAAGTATCACATGCTAAATTGAAATACTACATAACATGCATTTTGTCCAACTAAATATGCTTTAGTTAGTTCATGTTTATGAATGCAGTTTTCTGGCATATGAAGCCACACAAGTTTCATGAATTTGCATTTAAAAGTTGCATTTCTAACTGCATGTTTTAATGCAGCGTCTGCAAATTGTCACAAAGCTGCTTTCATTAAGTGTCACTGCCGCAAGATGCATTTAGTACACATAATATTGGATATCGCATTTCCTATAATATCGTGGCACAAAATGCAACATCTTTCATTTTACTTAAAGTGGACATGAAGCAGTCAACCAAGTTAAGCTGATTTAGTAAATGTATTTCTAATAATTATACAACACACGTGACTAATGTAAGCATTTAAAAGAAAAATGAAGCTCCGTGGCTTTAGTGGCAAGAGCGCCGCCATGTTGCAGTATTCCTGTTAGGACACAAGGTTGGTTGGCTCGGCCGAGTTCAACAAATACAACGGTAGAGACGGTGAAAGACGGAGACTGAGGAGCTACAGGACTGAAGAAGACAAAAGGGAGGCTGCTATTGTAAGGCTCCTGGATGTAAAAAATAGTTTTCCAAGGTTAAAACCAACAGCAAAAGAGTCCAACAGAACTGCTGTGCAAAAGCCCTCCGATGGGAACTGACTCCAGCTGCAGCTGACATGGTCTCCCCATCTGACATGTAACATGCTGGGAGCTTCCGCTAGCTAGCTACCAGCTCAACATTAGCAAACCAAAACCACCGCCACAAAGTAACTTTCCTTTTGACTGATGTCACCAAAACAGTGACTCGGGACTCTAGTGTCTTTTAGCTTTTCTGTTGCCCTCCTCCTGTTTTAGGATTTCTTCTTTTGAACATTTCTTAAATTAATAAAAAATAAAAAATACCGTAGCCGTTACGAACTAATGTAACACACACAACGTTATTCAACCCAAAGTGTTGACCATCTGACCGTCCACCGCTGGAGGCGAACCAACCCTGTTACGAATGCAACGATATCACTCCAACATGGCGGCTCGCTAGCTAGATAGCTTGGTAGCAATTACGAAAATAAATGTATCGTATCTTATGAATCAGATTTTATACATGGTGACTTTTCTAATATATGTGGGCACTAAGTAGGAACAAAGTTGAAATGACCAAATAGGATTTGGCAGGGTTATTTTACCTTTCTCAAATTAGTGTACTCTCTGCCAAAAGAGTCCCACTTTCACTGGACACTGCACCGGGGTTTCTGTGTGTGTTGCGGATGAATAGATGAAAAGATAATTTTTTCCTCCACCGCAGTGGGCAACAACAGTTCTATTTGATGTTTGGACACTGTAATGTATCACAAGTATGATTGGAGGGCACTATCTTTACAGTCCATTATATTGCATGGTGGCTCTTACATATATAGCAAAAAAAAAAAAAAAAAATGCAGTGGCGAGAGAGAGAAGAGCTTCAGTTAATGAAATGTCTGAGGCTGCACACTTGATAGAACGAGATAAGTCCGGCTCACTCTGACTCATTCCCCTCGCAGGATTTCCTCGTCGTCCTCCGTATGAAGTGCCTTTGAGATATGACCTATCTCATACATCTCTTTATGGAATTATTTTCTTAGTTTAGCTGAAATAGAGAGGCGAGAGTCGTGGACATCTATTAATCTTTCTCTGGTCCTCGTGAGCTGTTGAGAATCTGGACTCCTTGCCTCTCTGCCACAGTTGTCAGCCGGGAGCCTGACAGCCGGCAAAGATCTGAATCTACTCCAACACCACGTTTCCGTCATAATTCTGCTGCTCTTCAGCCATCTTGAATGCAACGCATGGAGGGGGCTCTCTCTCGCTGCCAAGGACAGAAAGGCTTTGTCAGTCTGTTTGTCAGAATGTTCTCTAAAAAAAGTAGGTACTCCTGTCAGCGAGCTCCTGTCCTGCAATCTTCTCAAATTGTTTTCGTTTGCCTCAGGCCATGAATTTCTTTGTCATCCTCCATTTTTTTGAGCAACCCAACAGAGAAAACACAAGATATTTTACCCCTCTGGTAATTCTTCTCCACCCCGAGCCTCTGTTCTCACTCAGCACAGTCAATGACACATCATACTCTTGTCTTCTCTTGCAGAACTGCCTAACAAACCTCTCCTCCTATTCACCTCCTCTTAATGTCTTCCTACATTGCCACTTGTTAGCCACCTCTGAAAACAATATGTAATGGTAGTTTTTATTTTAATTCCAGAGAACAAGGCACATTAAACACTGATGTGTCGGTAGGAGTGCTTATCAATTAATCATAGTAACAGCGTGTGGTTAGGCGGCATCATGACATTTAGTCTACATTGCTATAAAGGGCAGCTATGATAAGTTGAACCTTGCTTGTAATAAACGCAAGTTTTATAATTTACATTTGAACTAAAATGATTTAGTTTTCATCGTATTTGTCTATATTAATGTTACTTAACTTTTTTATTTATTTTTTATTTCCATGCACAATAACGTTAATTTTCTTGCTGTTGTTGTAAGTGACGGCCTATGAATCGTAAAAACAACTTGTGTCTGTGCGATTATAGCTGCATGGACACATCTTCAAAGACGTGGCTGCCGCATCAGAGTCAGTTTGGGTTGGTTGGTCAAGCGGAGGTTTGCGGTGGCGGACCTGGAGTTTTAACCCCAAGTGAGTCCGTTTTAGAACTCTACTCTTCCCTTCTGTCAACTGTACCTCACTTTTACAGCCTCTTTTCCTGTCTGTCGTGGTCCAATGAGATTTTTTCCCTGTTATATATGTTTTTATATGTTCCACTTCAATGCGCCGTTGTCTCTGACATCCATCGACACCACTGTTGCCAAAGGTAAATGGAAGGTTAAATATACACTCCAGCCTCAGCTGCAACACTCTGCTCCTTTTCCTCTGCTATTGCTTTTCAGTCCTTTTCAGCCCTATAAAGCTTTACAAAAGTACCTCAATATATTGAGGATTTTTTTTTTTTTTTTACTGCTCAATCCTCCACCGGAGCATCACTCACCCTCTGAGCCCTGCTTTGTCACACTCCCAGAGTTTTATTTTGATATTCTCTAGGTTTGATAGCGCCATTTGCCTTTTACTCTGGCTTTGATACACTCCAGTCTTCCTCCTCTCTGCTCTCTTTACTTCCCCAGATGAAAGCAGCCATTTCTGCTCCCTCCAGGGACAGGAAGAGAAATCATTTTTTGTGTTAGTTAGCACTGCGTGTAAAGCTGTTGTTTCATTTCAAACATTAAGACCTACGCAGTAATGTTCTGAAGTCTCGGAGAGAAACAAACAAGAGGCCGTTCATTTTGTAGCAGGGGACTCTTAGTTGAGAATCACCTTGTTTTAATTGTGATGAGAAGATACAGAAGCATCTCAGAGCAGTCTGAGTTAAGAGCCTGAAATTGATGCTTGATCTCTAATTTCATTTTCACAATTTTCAGCTGTTTAATTTGGCTCTGCTCATTTACAAGCACAGCAATAATGTCTCTAAATACAGTAGTAGAAATGAAGGTAGTTTGATGGAGAGCTCTGCACAAGCTGCGAACATGTTCCTATGGTAACTAGGCCACACTCCCCTTGGCTAGCTCTCACACACAGGCAGAGGGACAGCAATGCTGAAAACACACGTGATGGAGAGCAACTTCATATTGCTTTTTTTCAGGTTCCCGTTCTTATGCCTTCTGCGCTTGAAGGGTATTTACATTTCAACATGTCTGTCTCTCAGCCTTGAAGCATTGTGGTTACATTGCAGGACGTTGGAAGTCACTTTCTCTCTGCTCCTACAGAAATATCAAGCCGGGCTACGGTTCTTTCCCGTGGCTCCCTCACACCCACACAGCCCCTGCTTCCTCGACCCCTCCACCCACCTCTGCTTTGAAATCCTGTAGCTCTACCTCTTCTGTGCATTTTACATTTACTTGATTACAGTGCTGTTTCTAAACATAGCTCCGGAGTGGATCTGAACACCGTCAGGAGTGTCACCTGTACCTTTTTTATTTGCTCAACTGTTCTTAGCATAAACCCAACAACCCCTTTTTAAACCGTGTAATGAAAACACTTCATTTTTTTTAGTGCCGTTATATTTTAAATGTACATGTAAGTTTAGCTTTGGCTTAAACAATATGCTTGAGACGACTTGCGGTTATTTTCTGCCGCCTTCACTACGGCAAGCACAAACCAAGCTTTAAGCAGCTCTTAATGCCAGCAGTGGATGTCTCTGTGTTCTCGGCATCTCCAAAGTCATTCTGTGTTTTGTAAATCACTCCTGGGGCTATGTCTCCAGCCTGTCAAAAAAGCCACGGGGTTGATACAGCAACGTTTTGCGTCCGTCAGTCATGCAGGCTGATTGTTTAGTCAGCTCGCTATTAATGAATGGCCTTTACTGTCGTCTGTGATGCTGTGATAACTTTTTAAAGAGTTTGGACCTGCAGTATATTGCAGATTTGTTTTTCCCTAGAGCAGTAATCAATCGCATCTAAAATCACTTGTCAAAAATCTAATCCTAAAATGCTTTCAGTTGTCTAGAAGTGTATAGACAATTGACATTAAACTGAATATTAATTAGCATTACGTTGGATGCTTTTGAATAGATGCATAGCCTACACTAGTAACTTTGAACTTAAAAAGGCTGAACTGCTGTGATATATGGATGCTACTTATTTGTCCAAATGTAGTAAACTTGCATTCATTTGACATTTTAACAATTTCCCCCAACAACTGTTTTATGATGGGCGGATCACAACGGCATTAAAACAAGATTTAGTCAGGATACCTTGGCATATGGACTTGTGTTTTGAACATATTGGAGCTGTAAGAAAAATAATAAATTCAGAGCTGTAATTACCATGTTGTTGGTGACATGAACAGTATTTACTCGTAGGAATATGACAATTAAGGAGACTTCCATATGACATGAATATGATATCTGCCCCAGCAGGCCCGCCTGTGATTCACCAGAGGCTCCTCGTTGTCAGATGCTCCAGACCAGACATAACAAGATATTGTGTGTGTGCGTGCGTGTGTGTGATCTGTAACTGGAAACACTGTCACTCCAAGACAAAGTGGACTGCTGCACCATCAACACTGGATAGTCTCTATAAAATTAAGCTCACTCAATTTTCCCGGAGGGCTCTGCTTCCACCCTCGATGCAGGGAACAGGGAAACAAAACACCTGTCTGAGAGCACGCCGCCTCATTTGGTAGCATAAACAACGCAGATTCTCAGTACGAGGGAAAATGCTGCTGATCATTTATCTCTCAGGATGAATGTGTTTGGGGATGCAGAGTGGCCTCAGTAAAAGCATCCATATCGACATCATTTATGTCCAAACCAAAAAGTTAGTGATTTTACTTATGACGTGACTTGATTTTAGGTGTTTAAATACATACAAGTATTTCTATCCAGCTGCAGTTAAAAAAGTCACTTCTCCGTATGAAACAACTTACCACCTTGACATCTATGGTACAAAACGTTCCATCACAGCATCACAGACAAAAAGTGTCTTTAAGAGTTATAGCTTATTTGTTGGTTTACGAACATCTTTCTGGAACTCTTTCACCACCACGCAAACTTTATAACATTTTCCCCCAGTTGCTAGCAGCTGCTCCATTTCCTTTGTGCATTGCATCGTGGGAATAGTTTCCATCAACAGCAGACCCAAAAATCCACTGTATTTAGTCAGCACTTTGTCCAGTATCCAGACTGTACTTCATTGTCACTTTTCTCGTGTGAACGAGAAAAGCTGCATAGAACTAGTATGGGTTTGGGGTACGCAGGTTGTCATTGTTAGCATTCTGGGATTAGCATTCAGCCCAAACCAGGCTAACAGAGCTGCTAACATGACTGTGGACTTTCGTTGTCCACTAATGGGGCTAAGGAGCAGTGTTTTTTGTGTTGTCTTCTTATGTAAGTTAACGTGACGCCAGGGATGGTTATGGTTGCAGCCCGCTTGGACTGAATTAATATAACTGACAGCAGAAACACTGAATTGTTCAATGAAATTGTCAAAGAAAATGTTATTGTTGATTGGTGTCGTCATAGCTGATTGCCGTCTGGCCAATAAGGTCAGTATTGGTGTTGATCTCGATCTGGTGGATATCATTAAGTAGATCTTTTGATAAATGTATGGCTCCTGTGAGATTTCATGGTTATTAAAATACAATTTAGCAGTTTGTCCTGGGTAGGGCAGCTTGAGGGATGGCAAGAACTTGCGAAAAATAATCAAATTTTCAAATGTACCGTAATATATTATTAGAGAGATATAGATATATATACTAAAGGTTGAATATGTTTCTCCAACACCCACTCACAGTCTTCGTCTCTCTGTTTTCTTTCTCCCTCTGTATCACAGTTAGCTAGAGGCTGTTGCCACCCACACACTCCGTCCTGACAGCAATCTGCATTCAGAATAGCCCATGTGAGCACATCCATGTGCTATAATATGTCACGTTTACTTAAACCACCACATGTAGCAGGTGGCAGTGAAATCGGAAATATGCTAAATATTCCTCCGCACGGGTCCTTCAGTAAGAAGTGTCAGGATTCAGCCCCACATAAGACACAAAAGGAACTGACATTTCTTTCAGCAGAGGGACGATAGGTCTGATCAGTTCACTCACTTCAGTGTTGTGCGGCATGCTACTTTGTGTCTTTCATCATCTTTACTGTGCAGTTTTGTGCCAATATCTTCCACAGTTCAAGTACAAGCCCTTGAAGTTGTTTCCATGGATACCAAACAATTAGCTTGGATTCAGAATAGAACCTGGAGAGCCGCCTATTTAGAGGCTATGGGAGCGAGGAAATCACAGGATGACGGAGTATCTTGTTCCTCTGTTGCAAAGGGAAGAAACAGCTCCTTTGGGTAATGGGGAATTAGAAAAAAGATCTATATGTGTGTGTGTGTGTGTATGTATATATGTATATATATACAGTATATATATGTATATATATACAGTATATATATGTATATATATACAGTATATATATGTATATATATACAGTATATATATGTATATATATACAGTATATATATGTATATATATACAGTATATATACGTATATATATACAGTATATATACGTGTATATATACGTGTATATATACGTGTATATATACAGTATATATACGTGTATATATACTGTGTATATATACGTGTATATACAGTATATATGTGTATATATACAGTATATATGTGTATATATACAGTATATATGTGTATATATACAGTGTATATATACAGTAACAAAATTACGGTTTTTCACTAGATATGGATGAATCTGTAACATTTTATGCCACACTTCCAAAGGATCAAATGATGAGTGGTCTTGATTACACAACCAGCTTAGAAAATTCATTTAATCCTAACGGTATATTATATGTAATATGATGTGGCTTTGTTGTACAACCAGGGCAAAAAAAAACCGAAATCCTCTTTGGCTATACATGTAAGAGTGACGTTTTATCTTTAGACATACTTCATTCCCCCTTGGATTTGCTGTCATAACAAACCCTTAAAGATACAATATACAGGATTCAGAGCATTACCGTATAGCAGCAAACGGCTATTATCTATGTGAAGATATAGTGGAGCAATGTCGACACGAGCAGAGAATAAAGTCGCTCTCCCTCTGCGTGTGTTGCTATCCGAGCATCTCCTTGCTTTGTTGACCTAGCTGGGCCGGCCGAGTGTGCCTTTATTCCATCTTTGTGCATGTGAGCGTGCCCCACTGGTTAGCTCACGCACGCCACTCTGCAGTGTTACGGCGGTTACAGATGTTAATGCTGTCCCAAACGTCGTCGTCGTAGAACCATAGCATCCACCCTCTGGTTTATCCCTGGGGTAAACACGGTTAGCTTGGTCAGCACTTTTGCAGTAGTTGCCCATGTTGAGAGGCAATACAAATGCTCAATCACATTTAAGCCACCTTTAACTATGTTTAGCTGGAAATTGCTGGCTTGATCAAACTGAATTGTGAGGTTATTTGTTTTAATGTTTTGCACTAATCCATTGGTATTGACATCCTGTAACTGTCGTGTCATAATTCATTTGACACAAAAGCTGCAATACCCACGGGAATTTAACGCAAAGAAATATGGCAATTTAAAAGTTATTTCTGTAACTCGACAACGTCTACAGCAGCGTCAGACTTTTATCCATGCGCGTCACTATTTTTCAATGCCAGCGATATTGGAAGAAGACATTCCCCTTTTTTATTTTGCCTTCCAAACAGTGATTGGTTGATTGTTTTATCCAACACCCATCACTGGGTATAAAACCTATTTGAATTGCTGAACAAATTGCATATGTGGGTGGATATTCAGAGGTCCAGAACCAGGCTAGGAAATGGTACAATTTTCAAGAGCAAGAAGAATTTTACACAAAATGTCCCATTAAAAATAGAAAGCTCAGTTTCATCTGTTGTTCATATGGAGAGAAGAGGATTTTGGAGTCCCAAGGATGCTTTTGTGCATTGGCCTCATCTTTCTTAGCCAACACACTGCAATATAGAGAAAGCATCGGATCTTATTCCCTACAGTCAGCTGTCTATACTTTTATAGATCCATCATCATGTTCGAGTTTGCACAAGTCCGAAGTCAGACGAAGACCATAAAGTTCAAGATGACTCATTGTTACTTTTTCCCACTAGGGGTCCAATGTTTTTCTCACATCAGGTTTGTCTTTTTGCACTGGCTTTGGATACAGGAAGCTTTCCAATGGAGGAGTGATGAAAAGCCTCTATAACTGTCACGGTGTTGTTCTTTGTGTGTTTTTTGGAGGCTGTAGCTGTCTGTCCTTGTTGGTGAGCTTCATTCGCACCTCCTATTCTGCATTTTTGGTGTGATGATAGCTTATTTGTGAATATTATGCGTTTGTAAGTTTTGCTATTTCTCTTTCTATATGTGACCAAAGAAGCTGCAAGGTAAAGACACACGCTATGAATAAGATAGTGTCAAAACTTTTCAACATGCAATAACATTTTTAAATGATTGGAAATTGAGTTAAGTGGGTTAAGACCTATTAAAGGGTGCAAAAAAATGGTACATTTAAGTGTTAATGTAACTGTACCATCAATAAATATCAGATAGTTTACGAGGAAAAGAATATAACAATTCAAGTTAGTATATCATGATTCATTAATATGAGATTATTCGTTAAGCTGTTAAGCTGCAATATTGTTCTAATACTTTTTGTTCCTTTTGTGACCCACTTCAAGGGACATTTTGTTCTAACATCGAAACATGTTTCTTCCATAATTTATCCTTTCTTCACCAAATCTGGTCAACAAATATTTGGATGAGCTCAAAAAGCGATTGTGTTTTCTGATTTCATACCATTTTCCTGTTATTGGCTGCCAAAGTAAGTGTGACGCATTTGACACTAAATTGTGTAATTGCTGCCTAATTTAGACGACACACGCACAGAACAAAACCCTGTCTGGGCAAAATTTGATGGAAATTGACTCAGCAACAGCCCTACAGCAACATGATGCATTTAGATGGCCTCAACTCGGCAGTCAGTAGTCTGACTCACAGACGGGGTTTGCACTGAGTTTGCACAGTTCATCATCAAAATCCTAATATCCTAATCATCTTTAATGTCGCATAATGTGTTTTGATGTTCTGCCTGAATTCAGACCCAGTAGAAAAACAAAAAAAACATTCCATATTCATTAGAATAATAGCCCACGTTTAGGAACTTGTGCTTTTATGTTGAACACCTGCATTTGTTGACTAAGTATAAATATTTCATGTCTATGTTCTGATTTATTTATCTATTTTTTCTTCTTCTCAAAGACCAATCCCGCAGGGCAAGTTTTGCCTCTGTAAGACAGTCAAGCATGGAGACCCCTCCCAATGCCACCCCGCAGCCCTTCAGACAGCCGGTGAGTACAGCAATGTCGGTCACACTCTCCTGATGCTATAGAAGCTTTCTGCTCGCATAGAAAACACGTACACACAAGCTTTTTTTGGGCCCAGTCTGATTTAGTAAATTCCCTCTGGGGAAGTAAAGTGAATGGGATGCTTGAGGGAGAGTCTATACTTTTATAGGTGCTTTCCATACATTACATTTCTAGCTAATCCTGCTATTACATTTTGGATGTATTTTTGTTGGGTCAGTGTTTTTACACTATATTATTTTCTATTTTACCCTATTGAAACTTCAGAGTTTTCTCAATCGAAAGCTGAAGGGCTCCATCAAGAGGGCCAAAAGTCAGCCCAAACTGGACCGGACCAGCAGCTTCAGACAAATGATTTTGCCCCGGTTTCGAAGTGCTGACCAAGAGAGGCAAGTTACCTTTACTGTATGGAGCATGGTACAATTCAAGGTAAAACCAACTGTTATCTAATTCAGTGTCACATGGGGGTCGTAGCCTGCAAAAGTCAGGAAAATACAGTGGACAGGTCTCCCAGTTTTATCACAGGTCTGACAAGTAATTTACTGTTCACAATTCACTTGATATAGATGTCCTGTGCTGTCACGTTAGCATAAAGTGTTTCCTTGTTATTGCAAATTAATTATCCTCTCCACTAAAACGTCATGTCATTAGCAAGAGCTGTTAAAATATGTAGATTTCTGATAAAGCAATTATCTATAACCAGCAGACTTCATGCACGACTGTTACATGTATGTTACCTTCTGTGTTGAGTCAAGATCATGCCATAACGATGTGATCGTGCAAAAAAGAAAGATAAAAAGTAATTGCAGCATGGATACTGTGTTCCTCGGGGATCATATTCTTGGACTGTGGGAGGAAGCTGGAGCACCCGGTGAAAACCCACACAAAGCCAAGGAGCGTACTGTAACTCCATGCAGAGAGAACCGGAGACATTTTCCTATTTTTGCCTTAATTTGATAGTTGATAGTGTAGAGCCTCACATGAAGGAGAAAAAGAAGGGTGTGACACAGAGGAATACTGTGGCTGTATGTGTTTTAACCACTAGGATGTCCCTTTTTTTACTGTGAGGTGATAGTGTTAAAAACTGAGCCACAATTCTGCCCCACAATCATCACAAAGACGACTACACACAGTATGTATAACTTAAATAAGTATTTTTATGCACTTAGATCAAGAGTTGCTTCAAGCTTTGGGTGCTACCTAACCATCAACAATCAAAGCTGTTCTTTCTTGGATGTTTGACGTGCCGATTTGTGTATTGAGTGTTACTTTAGTGGGTTAGGTGTGACTACCTACTAGAATTGCTTCTACATGGAAACCTCTCACTTTAGCTGCTGAAGACTACATTGTTTTTTTTTTAAACATTGCTGACCTCTATACCAAGCTTTAAATTAGCCTCTTATTACAAGGACAAGCTGATTGTGTGATATTATCATAGTGCTGTACTATAGTGTGTGCAATTAATTACAGTGCACTGCATTGAAGTAGAATGTGGCCATTGTTACGAAAGGAACTGTTCATGAAAATTCAAACTGTTCATATTTTTTACGATGCTGCCCGACACTCATAACTTGAAGTGTGGCTTCTTATGAACCACTCTAACAAAAGCAAAACCCTGCAGAATGAAGGACATTGCATGTAGTTATACATTGACAGATTTTCTGAGCTTTTTCTAGAGCCGTCGGCTACCCTGGGTAGGTTGGAGGGTTAATTACATCTGTCATCATGAAGCCTATCAGCCTTTTGGTGTGTGTGTGTGTGTGTGTATATATATATATATACCAAAAGTGTTGGAAAAATATCTTATTCTCAATATCTGTTGGACATCCAAGTAACATGGTTAGAAGTACATCAGGCCTGCATTAATCAGTTTGATTTCTGTTTTCCAATCGTCAGGATGCAGTAGCTTGTAACTCTGGAGGCTGACGTTACAGCTCTTTCTTGACCTCTGACTTGAGGTCACATCCCGGAGGGTTCGGGCCTGCACTGTGACCAAAAATTTTATGCAGTACACACAATCCAGTCACGACGCACATATGGGAAATGTAAAGATGTAGAGCGGGAGAGGCAGAAAGTCAAGATGTAATGCTGACGGTACACTTTCCTCCCGCCACAGGAGATGCATAATAGGCATTTTCAGGGCAGGTGTGGATGTCCATACTCAGAGATGTAAAATGTGTTGTTTAGCACAGGATGTAAAAATATCTTTTAGGAAAATGCAAGGTGAGTTTCCAATGCAGAAGCCCAGTTCAAATGATAAAATGAATCACCCTATTAGAAATGTATTCTGTGGAGGCAGCACTTAAGAAGGTGGTGGGGATAAAGGGACTTTCTCCCTCTAACAACGGCCATTAACCAGCTCCGACCACTGCCTCAGACAGCTGCCTTCACAGCCCGGTTTCAGTTCTGCCCACACTCTTAATCCACTCATAGTGTTAAGTAGACTTTGCTATATACCCTCGGCGTCCAACTTCACACACTAGCTTTCCAACGCAGCTGCTCTACCTCTGCTGCCAAGTTGGTTTAAGAAAGCCTTTCTCATATACTGCATTCTGCGATGGCACTGCTCCTCAAACAAGACGATTCACTGCACCTCTGACTAACATTAAATCTGGGCTTAAATTAGTGCTCCTCATTTTCTGCATAATTATCAGGTGTTTCTTCAAAGCCTCTGCTTTTTCTTTTCCTTCCGTTTCACTCCATGTTCAAAGCCAGTGTTAATAATGCAGCATACTAGCTCCAGCTTCTCAGTACAGATACACTCCACATTGGAGTACGGGGAGAAACAGCTAAGACTGGCTCTGTCCAGTGAAGAGGGAGATACACGTCTTCACTTTTTTGCTAAAATGAGAATATTGATAACACTCTCATGTATGTATTGAAAAAACAGCCAGCAGTCAGTTTAGCTTAGCTTAGCATAAAGACTGGAAACACGGTAAACATGAACCGCTAGTCTGGTTCTGTTCAAAAGGAATAAAATCTGCCTTACCAACATCTATTAAGTTTAAAAACTAGTAAAACCACAGCTTGTTTTACACACAGGTTTTTGTATGGAATAAACAAATCTAACATGTTAACATTAGGTGTTGGTGGGCAGATTTTGTTACCATAGTTTCCCTGTTTCTAGTCTTTATGCTAAGCTACGCTAAATGGCTGCTTGTTGTAGGGGGCAAATATGAGAGTGGTTTCTCATCCAACTCTCTTAGAAAATCAATCCTAAGAAATTATCCTAAAATGTTGAGCTATTGCTTTAACTTTCCCTAGCTCTCCAGCTTTTCAGTGTAGATAAACTCCACGTTTTCAGCTTATTCTCATTTAAAGCTAGTTTCAGAAAATGTTAAAGGAATCATTTTTGGACAAACCAGGTTAGCTGCCCCTGTTTCCAGCCTTTATGCTAAGCTAAGCCAATCACCTGCCGTCTCTAGCTTCACAGCTGACACTAGCAAAATCATAATCAATCTTTTCATTTTACGTTCAGAATAAAGTGCTTTCCTCACTACATTTTTTTTATTTATTTTTTTTTAATTGGCCCCACTGACATTGCTTCGCCTGAGAGACACAGTTTGCTCACCTTTTTGCTTCCACTACCGCTTTTCTTTTTCCTGATAGAGCTGCCCTCTTCTAAAGGTTACCCAGCGATCAGGTCTAATCAACTGCGCCTTTTTATAACGGCCTTACAGTATTTCTGCAGACTTAGCCCCACGGAACAGCTTCTATTCATTTCCATTTACACAGTAGTCAATACCAACATTACATTTAAATTAGCATTATTTTAATTATTGTGCTGTTGTAGAAAATTTAAAATTTGTATTTCCAGATAACGCCACAAACTGAGATGCTGTGGGCCAATTTCCCAAACATGCAATATGAGTCACTTGAGTTGAGTCAATAGAAAACAAACACCAGAACTGAAAACCTGGTAGTCTCAGCTTTTCCATAAACTCATTTTAAAAGGATCAGAACTCAAAAATGATATTGAAATTGCAGGAAGGACGACTTCTGAGCTGCAGTGACTCATTTTTGTTGTATAAAACACTTTCTGGATTGTTAATCTAAAGATCATAAAATATGATATGATGATGATGTATAATCAAATCTGAATTCTTCTCTCACCAGGACACGCTTGATGCAGAGCTTCAAAGAATCCCACTCCCACGAATCCCTACTTTCTCCTAGCAGTGCTGCGGAGGCTTTGGACCTAGTTTTGGATGAAGATGCCATAATCAAACCTGTCCACTCGAGCATTTTAGGACAAGAGTACTGCTTTGAGGTGTGTTGTATAACCATTTCCTTCTTCCTGGCTTTACCTGATTTCTAATGGACTTATTCTTTTAAAATTAATTGTAGACTTATTTAACCAACCAACCAACTGAATTGAAAAATGTTCTTAGTATGTAAAGATGTCAAATCAGGTTAAACTATAAAGCCACTTCTCAGCTCTCTACGAAATGTGATAAATAGTGTTTTATTGACTGTAAATGAATAAATCTAGAGTTATGGACAATTTAAAGACGTTAGCTAGTCTATAACACATTCTTTTAAACCAACTGATTAATGGGGGAAAAACAATCAACAGATTAATCGATAGGAAAATTATTGTCCGTTGAAGCCATAATGAGATATTTTACAATAATGAATATAATAAGACGTTGTTTTTGTCTGAAGGTGACCACCAATTCAGGGACAAAATGTTTTGCCTGCCGTTCTGCTTCTGAAAGAGACAAGTGGATTGAAAATCTGCAACGAGCTGTCAAACCTAACAAGGTAGATGCAATAGATTTTTTTTCATTTTATATTGCCTTGAAATGTCAAAATGACCAGATCCAAAGTGTAATATTAAGGACAGATGTTAATAAGGACTGTTGTAATGCAGTAACAGAACTCCTCGTTTCCCTCCCAGGACAACAGCAGACGGGTTGAGAATGTGCTCAAGTTGTGGATCATTGAAGCTCGGGACCTTCCGGCTAAGAAACGCTACTATTGTGAACTGTGTCTGGATGACATGCTGTACGCACGCACCACCAGCAAACCCCGGACCGACACCGTGTTCTGGGGCGAGCATTTTGAATTTAACAATTTGCCTACCATTCGTAGCCTTCGATTGCACCTCTACAAGGAAACTGACAAAAAAAGACGAAAGGTAATGTCTTCTGTATTGATTTAACAGAGTCAAAAAGCATTTGATTGTGCTCCAAATATTAAGAATATATGTTGTTTTTCTTGGTAATCTAGGAGAAAAGCACATATCTTGGCCTTGTCAGCATCCCCATCTCCAGCATCACGGGCCGGCAATTTGTGGAGCAGTGGTACCCGGTGATACAGTCCAGTGTCTTGAACAAAAGCGGTGGTGTTGGAAGTACCAAAGTGATCAACGCCTCACTGCGTGTCAAGTCTCGTTACCAGACTATGAACATCCTCCCTATGGAGCTGTACAAGGAGTTTGCGGAGTACATTACCAACAACTACAGAACACTGTGCGCAGTTCTGGAGCCGCTGTTGAGCGTGAAAAGCAAGGAGGAGGTGGCGTTCGCTCTGGTGCACATCCTGCAAAGCACAGGGAAGACAAAGGTATACAAGGCGTCAAATGTAACCTGATTCCATTATTTTTTTACATAAACCATTGCTGTGTATGATCTGTCGGTTCCTTTTCTACTGAACTGAAATTGAATGTCTTCTCAGGAGTTCCTGTCGGACATGGCGATGTGTGAGGTGGATCGGTTCATGGACCGTGAGCACTTGATCTTTCGTGAGAACACGCTAGCTACGAAGGCTGTGGAAGAGTACCTCAAACTGATAGGTCACAGATACCTCAAGGATGCTATAGGTGAGGCTGCTGTAGATTAACCCAACTCCATATCACTGTGTATGTAATCGGATGAAAGGAGTATTTTAAGCTCGAAGTGTGTCAGACAAGACTTAATTCCATCATAAACATCTGTCATTTAGCAGAAAATGACCATGACATTGTTTAATGTTGCGCTCGTTTGATCTACATTTCTGATTAATTTGTGACATTTTCCAAATTACTGTTATGTTTTGTGGTAGCAGCATTTCAAGAATACTCGTCTTATGAAGTCCTGTCTATATGTCACATCAACAAATAGGAATAACAACATTTTAGTGGCACAACATAATTGCTAATTTCTTCTTTTATTCTCTCATACAATGAAGGAAAAGTAGTAAGAATAGTTGGAATCACTGTTAAAGGTTTTTCTTGATGTACACAAACACAATGCAGTATACTGTGCGTAATACAAAGGAAGAGATGTACCAGTCATTTTTCATGTTTTATCCCATTTATTACAAATCCTGTATATTTTACATTTATATTTCTAAGTTCAAATATTAATTTCCTCCACACAGCCTTGTTTAACACATTGGTAATTCACATATTAACTCATCTTCTCATATACTCTCATAATCATCTTTATTCTCAGGGACTTTGAGAGGTACAGCATATGTGCAATTGTGTCTTCCTCATCCATCTGTCAGAGTAGTTTATGGCAGAAATGTGGTGCAAAATGTTTGCCTTTTGGGGAAAGATAACGACAGTGTGACCTACAACCTACAGGTGACTTCATTCGAGCCTTATATGAGTCTGAGGAGAACTGTGAGGTGGATCCCATGCGTGTCCCGCCGTCAGTCCTCGCTGACCATCAAGCTAACCTTCGAATGTGTTGTGAGCTGTTACTCTGCAAGATCATCAACTCTCTCTGGTTGGTTTCCCCACAGTTATCTGTTCCGTATATATAATGATTTCATCATTCCAGAGATGAAATTGAAAAACATTTATAGTATAGTTACAGCGTTTAAGATCTAGCTTTCTGTTTCAAAACTTTACATTTTCAATTTTTGCTTACCAGCCACAAAACTCATGGCCTCCATTTGTCTCCATAGTAAGAACAATATGAAAACTAACTTTATGCATATTTAAGTGGTAATAACTGAAATTGAACATGATTATTTACAATTTAAAGCGTTTTTTCAGTGCTATAATCAGTAATATTATCACCGTCATGTTCAGAAACACAATCTCAAATCCGATTTTCCAGATGTTTTAGTTTCCTGACCTTGCTGAATACCTGAAGGCTTTGGACAAGCTTCCGGATTTGACCTTGCCATTCACGCCGACAATGGGGAAATGAAATAATCTTCTTCTTTCAGCATATTTCCCCGAGAGCTGAAGGAAGTGTTTGCGTCGTGGAGAGCCAGATGTGCTGAGCGTGGAAGAGAGGATCTTGCCGACAGCCTCATCAGCTCCTCCCTATTTCTTCGCTTCATGTGCCCAGCCATCATGTCCCCCTCCCTGTTCAACCTAATGCAGGAGTACCCCGCTGAGCGCACGTCCCGCACACTCACGCTTATTGCCAAGGTGATGCAGAACCTGGCCAGCTTCAGCAAGTGAGTCCCTGTCATTGCCTGTCCTCTTACACCGACATTCATTCGATTCAGTTCACTTAGATTTCTAGACGCTGACGCTTGTGCGAGATGGGTTACATGACACAGACACAGAGTCCAATTATGAAAATACAGGCTTGCAGATTTGACTGCCAGGGTACAAACTATTACTCACCCACACTGAGCTCCAAGGCTTTTAGCGGCAACACATTTGTTCCTACCTTCAGTTCTTTGAATATTAAAACAACTCTTCTGCCTTTAAATATGCAGGTACACTCACTGTACAATTAAGATGTCAAAAGTTTAGTGGTAATTTAACAGACTCTACATTTCAGGAACATTGGATACAAATGATCAGACATCCTCAAATAATATAACCTATGTAGTTGTAGTAGTAATTTATGTCCTCACTAACTCAGTTCTTCTTAACAATTTCCCAAATATAATGCACATGATAAAGAATGAATAACAAAAAGGTATCAAATTAAATGAAAAATAAAGTTTAAAAAAAAGCTTAAACTTATAATAATTTCCCTTTTTACTTAGCATACAAGCAACTCATTCACAAGGCTTAGGCTTTACAAAAACAGAAACCACTATAAAGGTGCACTGCGTAGAGCGCAGATCTCTGCCAAGTGTGTCTGCACAGCTACTGTTGTATTGTGTGATTGAATGAATACAACCCGTAATTGGCATGTTCCCCTTTCAAGACACCAAAAGCCTGTAAGGAAACGTAAAACACACTTCATTCAAAGTCAAAAACAAGTGGCAATGAATGCAGATAATCATCTCGAAGTCATCGTATAAGACACCACGTACAATCGTGCCAAAAACAAAAGTAAACTCACCAATCTGTCTGCCTGCGTAGCGGCGGATGAGTTTCGGTGAGGTACAGCAGTTGCGCTAGAGAGAGAAAGATTATAAACAATGTAATGGTGGTCTATGTTCTCAACTATAATCAAAACCAAGATATGGCGATGTAAACATACTGACTGTTAAATTGTTTCACATGCAGAGTGAATATGCGCTGGAAATCAGAAGTACAGAACAACAAAGAAGGCAATCACTGGCCACATAACTTTTTTTAAGTCATAATATATATATGACACAATATACAACATGTTATTCAACTTAACTTCTACACGCCCCTTTATTGTAAATATTAGATCCTTCCACGGTGTAATTTGGAGTACGTTTCCATCTTCACCCCTGTCGTTATTGTCTCTGCAGATTTGGACCCAAGGAGGAATACATGTATTTCATGAACGAGTTTCTGGAGATGGAGTGGGGCTCCATGCAGCAGTTTCTCTATGAGATTTCCAACATGGAGGCCGGGGGAAACGCCGGAGGGTTTGAGGGCTACATTGACCTCGGAAGAGAACTGTCCATGCTCCACAGCTTACTGTGGGAAGTCATGGGCCAGCTTAGCAAGGTAGGTGGAATAACACGCTGGAACATTAAATGAAACATTTCAATGTGATTTCTTTCTTTAACTGGAGAAGCTCTGCGGTTCTCTATCTGTCCGACAGGATTAATATTATTTGAACTCCATTACAACTGTGGTGGAATTAGTACTTTAATATTTAACTACAGTGCTTGCACTGTTAATTTATTGAAATTGTACTATAGTTGAAACATAATGAAAGGAATACATATTTTATGCTCAGCACTAAATTGTCTTAAAAGTATGTGCTTTTTAATATCAGTATTCTGTGTTCCTTGAAAGATAATCTCTATGTTTTCTGGATGACATTTTAATTTTATGAATGAACAAGTGAATCATACTGTATAAAGCAGAGGCTTCCAGCACCTGGGGCAAGTACTGTGCCGTTTTCTACTGGGCTGCATAATCTAGTCTCTCTCCCGATACCCATTTAGATGCCGTTAATGAGTACCACGCTTTCTTTATCCCAAAATTAAATATTTATAACATGTGTTAACATGATAATGTCTTTGAACTAAAGTTGGTCAGCAGTACATGAGGTAATCAGTTTCACCTACATCATGATGGGTGGGAACACCTGGTAGAAGGCATGTGAGCATTGGATTTTCTTGATTTTTTTTTTTCCAAACCTTTCCATGTTGAAGGATGCCATTCTCAAACTCGGACCCCTACCGAGGCTGCTGAATGACATCAGCGTCGCCCTGAGGAACCCGCAGCTCCACATGCCTACAAATCACCAGCCGGACAGACCGAAGGACAGACTCTTCTCGCGCCCATCTTTCAATCGTCTAATGTCCTCTGACTTCCAAAGCCTTATGATGCGTGACTTAAACAGGTATTCTCTCACGGCTTCCTTCCTCATGTATTGTTGGTTTTATCACTTCTACACATGACATTTGATTTGCATGTCCTCAAAAAGGACTGAGCCAAGATGGGTAATGCTAATGATTTTACATTTGAACAGAACATTGATCCCTGTTGTGACTTTATCAAGACAATGTGAATGGACATAAACGGAATCATTACAGTTTATGGGTATAATTATCAGTAGCACATATAAAGGACAAGAAAAACATAATAAATGAGGATTCAGTAGCTCAAAACAAAACACTGGCGTATTTCTAAAAGCCTGTAATGCTAATGCACCTCTTCAGGCTTTTTAAGTAGTTTATCAATCAGTAGTTGCCAGCACCATCTGTTCCCAGACTCTCTTACCCAAACCTGTTTCCTCTGTGTTTTAATTCATGTCGGCACTCTACTATTGTCAAGAGACGGTAGCTCTCGTTACAGCATAACTGCCAGCGAGCCTTCTCCTCGCTGGCTTTCAACACAAACCATTATGCAACAATTACACAATACAACTTTAGTTCTTGCACAACAAAACAATTCTTAAAGACGGGTGCATAGGACCAAATACTCTTGACAGAATTCTTTGGTTTCTTCACGTTTCATTATGAAATGAGAATAGCAAAGGAATGATGCTACCGTTGTAAGTTATTAATTTATCTATATATTTTCCCCTGTTCATCCTTAGCTACCAAACTAACCAATTATTTTTTTTATTTTATTTGAACATTTATTTACAGCTTCAAACAATTAACAATCTACAGCTACAGCTAATCAGTGCATTTTCTGACCACGTAATATTTATGTAAACCAGGTCAAGGGTCAGACCCAGATTAATATAATGGATTGTGATAATTTTTTAAATGAGGAAAAAAACACATTCTAATACAGAATAATGTGTTTATATTTCAGATTTTTCTTGTGAAATACTACTTTATCCTTTCAGGTCTCTGAAGATTATTCTACAAAAAACACTCTTTGATTAAACTGCCCACAAACGGCCCATGCTGTTTCACATTTAATGGGATAATGCTAAATAGAATCAAGTATAAATTATCTATGAGATAGAGCCATTTGCAACATGTGTCTCTGTTGTGTATCTGCAGTTCGATAGACATCTCTCGCCTGCCATCCCCTACGACCGGAGTCTCAGCTGTAGAATCCCTCTCGTCTAACCTGAACATGAGGCGTCATGCGGAACGAGACCTCCGCTCGTCGAGGGAAGTGTTCTACGTGACCCGCCCACCGCTGGCTCGATCCAGCCCCGCATACTGCACAAGCAGCTCGGACATCACCGAACCTGATCCAAAGGTACAATGTCACGGTCAGGTATCGCACTGTTATTAAAATGAGGCGAGCGCTTAGGCTTGAATGCTTTCTTTGTTTGTCAGTAATAATGACAGTTTTGGGGAATTTTAATAACTTCTTCTTTTAATTTCTTTTGAGAGTGGATTATAATTGAACTTCTGATCTTAACAGGTTTTTAGTGTTGTCTTATTTAAGCATTGAAGCCATTTTCAAATCTCAAGACTTTTGATTTAATAACATAGAATTTGGTTGCAATGTAAGATTTTCACAATATATATTTAAAGGCCAAACATTACATTAATCATTCCTGTTTTTCCAATCGTAAGACAAATAAATTCGTTTTTAAGTAAAGGATTTGGAAAGGCAGGTTATTGGCAAAGCCTTTTGCAACTACACAACAAAAAAAGAAAAGTACAACCAAGCCAAGACTTTTTTATTTCAAAAACATAAAAAAAAAAACGAGTAAAACGTTTGTGTGGCATAAGTATACAAACACAATTAGCAGTCTAAAAGCATCAATGTAACTATATATGACCGCTAAATGCGTTTTAAATCAAAGTTAAAACAGAAAATATACACATTTTAGAATGGAGTACAGTAGTTTCCTTGTTGTGAGAATCCAGTCCAAAGTCCAGCTACAAAAAACATTTGCATTGTTTTTCTCAGGTCCATAGTGTGAATAAAAGTGTGTCCATGATGGACCTTCAGGATTCCCGCATGAACAGCATTTCCAACCTCAACTCTGTGGGAGACATGCTCACCTCCTCTCAAGCCTCTATTGCCGGCCTGGGCCACAGCTTCGGAAACCTCTGTGGTCCTCCTCGTATGGGAGGGCATATGCCAGCGGGCTCTGCGGGGTCTGGTTTGAGGCTGAGCCAGATGGGCCACATCGGGGGGCCCACCGAATCCATCTCTCAACAGCAGCAGCAGGCGGCAGCGGCCATGCACTTCCCCCTGTCTTTCCAGAACCCTCTATTCCATCTGGCCGCCCAGAACTCCCCGGCTCAGTCTCAGCCTCACCCCCCTCCTCTCCTCCTCGCCCCAGAGCCAGAGAATGGCCACCACGACTATGCACCGGCCTTTGGCAACAGTGCTTTCTCCCGCAGTGAGGACTTGTCTGCCCTGCGGTCACAAAGCAGTCTGGTGCAGCCCAGCATTGTGCACTCGCACAGTTACAGTGATGATTTCACCCGGCAGAATCAGGGCAATGACTTCGCCTGGCACCAACTGTCACTGCAGGTGCAGGTAGGAATCTCTCCCTTATCTTCACACACATTTTACACAAAGACAGTTTGTGATGATGTGCACATTTTGTATTGCTTAAACAGGGTTAACTTCTTATTTTTCACAAATCTGCAGATCTTAAGCCATAAATATAGAAAATAATAATAAATATAAATCTAACTTTACCATTTTGTCTGTACAGATGACTCCCATAGTATGAAGAAATCTTAACTGTTTGGTGTCTACAATTATATTGATGGATGTAACCTGTAACCACCTATAATGAAGGGTTTTATTAATTATGCAAACACATCTTGCATAACTCCTCATTTTATAGGCAAAGAGGTGACTGAAACTTAGTCATCGTAGATTGTGAAGTTAAATTAGTAACAACAGAACGTCTCTCGCCTGTAGCTGAATATCCAGAATGGTGTTTTTAAGGCATGTTTTAGCTCTTTTTCTTAATTCACAATGCTCACTGATAATCATTTCCATTGTTCACTTGTATCCGTTTCAGTGTGACCTCTAACTACCTCTCTATCTGTCTGTGATGTTTAAAATAAGTCTGATCATAATTTAAATCTTCAAACTTGACCACATGTTAAATGTGTTAGTTGCTTGCCACTGGATGGTGCCATGGTGGTTGCTTGCTTGCTTGCCTGTCAGACCTGTGCATTATACTGACAGGTTCTGTTGTATTGTCCTCCCACATTTATTTCAATAAGGGTAGGCTAAATAATAGAAACACCTCTGTATATTAAAGCCACTCGAAACTCCTGGCTAGCTACTATCATTTTGAGTGGACAAATAAGGTTAATAAAATGGCATGCCTGATTTTATTAAACTTTATATCCCTCATATAAGAGTAGAATAAAGTTTCAAGGCGTTAAAACCATAAGGCACTTCTATTGAATCATTGCTAAAACTTGATGGTTTTAAAGCTTGAACCTCTAGTCTTGTAAATCAGTGGATCTTCTGGTTTATGTCCTTCATTTTAGCACTCACTCAATTTCAATACACATGCAGTATTATCATTATCACTACTGGCTCTACAAATGTTGTGATGAGGACAGTCACAGCCAGGAATTTATTTTCTCAGTTTTTTTATTTCAAGCCAAATTGCCCAACATACTTACTCTTGTCAATTATTCTTAGTGTGATTGTAACGCCTTTTATTGAGCAACGAAACTGTCCGCAGTAATTCAGTTTCACCCCTGCAGTTCATTGGATCCTGCTGGAACTTTTGTTTTCACTGTGTTCAGACTTTATCGACAGGTTGCAGAACAAAGCTCGAATCCAAACAGAATAGGAACGTCTCTCTCATGAGCAGCAGAATATGCAAATCTAACAGTCATGTAAGGGTACTTTTGAGGGACACTTCATATGCTACAGACAACACACTGAAGCAGGATCATTCACTGGGCTGCTCTGCTGAACTCAGGGCAGATCATAACTGTTGATACTTCTCATAATAGTCTGTATTATACATATTTTAACCCTCTGTGTACTGTAGATCAGACTTGGATCTTATATCTTGAGAGTCCATACTGGAGTTTGAACATTTCCAGTAAAGCTGATTAACTTTTGAGAAAAATTATTTTATACATATGCAATAATTATATGTATAATTTGTTTCAAACTTGTTTAAAAACACATGGAAGCCCAAATTATAACCAAAAATCAAATGTCACATGTTCAGTAGGATTCTTCTGTTGTTTGGAACAGCTTTTAATTGATATAAACTGACCTTTCTGGCTGTGACTTGATGATGTGTGCAAAAGTCTGTGCAAAATGATAATGTTTAGTGATATGGTCATGTAGTCCTGCGCTATTTCTGTCCTGCTGTGTGGGCCTTAATGGAACAAACATCACAGGCCTCCTGTTTATTAATACAGATGGTGTGTCGGAACAATGCGTTATCTATCCACCCATCCATCCACCCACCCACCTTCCTAGACATTTCTGACATTTTTTTTTCTGTCACCCTATTGTCTCCTCACAGGAGTCTCTTCAGCAACAACACCTGATGGGAGTTGTATCTCAGTCAGGCACTGGGACGGGCACCCCAGCCTCCTTGGCCACACCACCTACTACAGTTCACCCTATACGCCACTCGTCCATGGCTGCGCCACAACACCTCAAGTCGCAGCGGTCTATTAACACTCCAGCCACCGCTACACCTCCAAAAGTTCGCCCGCAGAGCCGGAACCTCCTCCTTGACTCTTCTGACACAAACTTCAGCGGCAGTCATCCGAAATCACGCCATTCTCAGCAGCCGCAACAGCATCAGCATCAGCAACAGCAACAGCATCAACAACAGCAACAGCATCAACAACAGCAACAGCATCAACAACAGCAACAGCATCAACAACAACTACAGCAACAACTACAGCAACAACAACTACAGCAACAACTACAGCAACAGCTACAGCAGCAACAGCAACAACAGCAACAGCAACAGCAACAGCAACATCCGCAGCATCAACCGCAACATCAACAGCATCAACAAGAAGCGCAGCTGTCGGTGACAGACAGTCCAGCTCCCGGACTCCCATACCAGACGAGCTCCGCCAAAGAGAACCAGGGCCCTCAACCAGCTGCAGAGGAGTCAACAGACACGCCCACGAAAAGCACCAAGAAGTCTCAACAGACACAACTGCAGCCGCCACAGCAGCATCTGCTCAAACCAGGCAATAAACAGGTCAATCTAACTAAAGTCTCAACTACAGTGTCTCACTTTACATTATTATATTATTACATTGACATGAGTTCAAGGCATTTCTAAGATAAAGACATGGGTTTGAAGCATGTCGTGTGTTGTTGTTGATGTTTCAGGGTTCTCAGTCGACCTTGACCACCCCGGCCCTCAATGAACGGACAGTCGCTTGGGTGTCCAACATGCCACATCTCTCTGCTGACATCGAGAGCCTGCGGCCAGACCGTGAGGGTCAGCTGAAAGAGTACTCCAAGAGCATGGATGAGTCGCGACTGGAGAGGGTCAGCAATATTTATCTTACTACCTTTTTTAATGACTCACTCGCTTCCTCTGAATACTAAATATTAGTTTTGAAAATGTAAAAAGTATCATCTGGTCAGTTGACCTAAAAAAATGATAGTATATAACAAAAAACTCCTTCACTTGTATTCAGAGATATTTAGTGACAACGTTTCAGTACATAGAAACCTTCATCAGGTTACTTTACAAAACAATGGGAGAGAATGTCTTAAATAAGTTGGTAGGCCCACGTAGACCAATCAGGTCACACTACATGATAATGTCACTGAATCAGTCAAGAATCATACACATCATAAACATGCCAGCAAAGACCTAGAATATCAGCATGAAAACATATACATAATTTAATATAGAACGAGTGGCTTGAACATTTTTTAAAATGCACATAGACATAATGAAGAAAAGCTGCCATACCGAGATACATGTTTATATTATGTAGTTCAGGATTGGTTGGAGCTTGACAAATATGTCTTCTAGAGACTGTGTGTGTGTATATATAATTAGGAAAGAAGCTCATAAAGACGAAATCCTTCATAAAAAGATTACATAATAATATACAAGTGTAATTCATTTGGGACGAGTACAAAACAAACAGTACATCAGAAAAATCACAGACAATATCTCATAACATTACATTGAGAAGTAGCTCATCATCCAAACCCTTGAGAGAAAAACATTAGCTTTTTCTAATAGCAATTTCTACATGTACATCCCCTGCACCGGGGTGACACTGTTTCAACCTTTTCTGCCATATTGCAAGTATAAATCAGAGCTATAACTAAATCATACATGAGTTGCATAATGGTGGCTGTTGTGCATGTTTTATGATGAACAACTCCCACACTCTTGCCTTTATTAGACATGCAAATGTGAATTTACATATTTAAGCCAACCACAGTTCCGCTGCAGGTTTGTCTGGTCTTTCCCACTTGCAGCTTAACATAAAGAGAGGCGCGCTACAGAGCCGTGTCTATATTGATAACATCCCTCGTCATTCAGGAGGACTTCTGAATACGAGTGACGACACAGGTGAAGTGACTTTATTTTTATTTTAGGTAAAAGAGTACGAAGACGAGATATATGCCTTGAAGGAGCGGCTGAAGATGTCTCATCGCAAGCTCGAAGAATATGAGCACAGACTCGTGTCGCAGGAACAGCAGACGAGCAAGATCCTAATGCAGTATCAGAACCGCCTGGACGACAGTGAGCGCCGTCTAAAGCAGCAACAAGTGGAGAAGGACTCTCAAATCAAAGGCATCATCAACAGGTGATTAGTGTTCAGCTTGAACTAGAGCTGGCAGAAATAAGGCTGTGCCAATTACTGCCTGGCTCTCTCTAGTGACACAAATTTCTACCAAGGTCATAAATGCAGTAAACTATATATATTTCAGGAAAGTTAAAAGATTGAAGTGTAGCAAGTTGTGGATGTTTGAGGGCTACAACAAAACACATCTACAAGGTTAAATGTGGTGACTAGCTTTATTGGTCTGCTGTATAAGTACTCAGACAAACACTGTGCTTAGTGAGGGAAGATGTATCAAATCTTTTTAAGAATTTCTTCTCAACTTTAAGACCTTCACAAAATATGATTAATGGCAGAATGAGTAGGATTTGTTTGTTGCAGTTTATAAACACAACATTCCCCGGCTCAATGTCACCAGAAGCACACGCTCCCCTCACCGCTGTTGCCGAGGACACAGCCCGGTGTATCACATTTAGCAGCAATTCAAGAGCGGTGTATCTGACTTTGAGGTTTGTCTGCTTGGCGTTTGGACTTGCTATATTTGCGTTTTTTTTGGTGCTGTGTCCATCATTTTTGTAGCTTCCAATCCGGACACCTAGTCGCTATGTTCTTATGGAGTCCAGCCCTCATTCCCTGCGCTGTGTGGCTGGAGGCTACACACACACAGTTACCAAAAGGCTGACGCCAAGAAACGTCCCGAACACAGCAGAACTAAAAGAACAGAGAGAATGTATGCAGAGGGGCAGGGTCTCTGCAGACTGCCACACACCTCTAGTGGGTCATAAGTGATGATTGAGAGTGATTACCTTTGTAGGAGTCTATACATTGTCTTTTAAGAAAATCCTACTCATTTTGCCTTTCAAGTAAAAATTCCCAGTCAAATAGAACTTTCATGATGTCATACGTATCCATATTTAAAGAAATAGTTCAACATTTTGGGCAGTACGATTGTTTTCTCACTTGCTGCATGTTAGGTGAGACGATACCGCTCTGATATCTTACTCTGACTTTAGCTCCAGACATAAAGCTACGTCATGGAGTTTGTGTTCGTCAACAAATGAAATATATATTCATATATAACACCTTGCATCGTGTTATCTAAGTCCATGCATTTAGGTATTTGTGGATTTATATACAGCCGTTTTTATGCGCATCTTTGGAAACGCAGAACATTTTGAAAAAAATGTAAATGCTGCAAAAAAAACAACGTCTTACACTTAGATGAGGAATATTTGGCATATAGTTGCAAAGTGCAACATAGTGCAATGGAAACAGACATGGCACATAAATCATGATGCGCATGGCTTTAGGCGTCCACTGAAGATTCCGCTCCACTGAAGAGATGAAAAATGGCGCCAGACCAAAACATGTGTGGAGCTATGACGAGAAAGTAACGTTCCGCAAATTAATACATGAAACAAACATAAATACCATATTTTCTACATTGTTTTCTATCGTTTGAGGTTTGACTGGCGCCCGCATTACAGTAGTGAATGGAAACGCACTTTGATTTGCATTTTCTGAAACGTTTCACCACATTACTAACTAACCCTGTAGAGCTCTAAATTGTGACACACAAAGGACTCACTCATTTTTCCCTAGCACTGGTAGTACTGGTCAAAAGCTCCACAGGGTACCTTTAACGCACAGGCAAGAGTGGTATCGATCGTCTCATCCAGCTCTCAGAGAGAAAGCAAATATGTGTATTTCCCAAAATGTAGAACTATTCCTTTAAATGTAGCTCATTTAAATATCACAACTGATACTGAAAATCATACCCATTAGGCTCATACTTTAATATGAAACACTTCACGAGGTTGGTTTTCATTTTATTTCAACAACTTGATTACAAGGACAGAAGAAAGAAACAGGCTATATCTGACTGTAGCTACACGTACTTGAAGGAAATGTTTCATGGAAGAAAGTCGGACTCCTATCCAATGAAATGCAGTTCAGTTTATTCAGTTTATTTCTGAAAGCCAAAGTTTTGTATAAGTTGAGTATACAGTGCTCACATCTCATTTGGTAGAAAACCTCCTTGGGTTGAATTAAACAGTTTCCTCCGAGTACAGATACAGCAGATGGGTGCACACTGAACTATTTTATTTTATTTTTTACCTTTTTATTTAACCAGATAAGTCAATTGAGAACCAGTTCTATCCTGCACACACTCATTTCACAAGATGTGTATCTGAACAGCTGAATTTGAACTGCCTAAATTATTCTGACCACAGTTCCGATTCAGCTTCAGGAAGCTCCGAGGATGGCTGAATGCACCCAGAAAAATGTCAAGACCTTAATATCATCATATGGCCACATAGTCCTTCAGTAAATTTGAAGAACACCGGATTCATAACTATTTTTATCAACCGGTATGTTTGTTTCTATTTCCCTGTTGTCAGACTCATGGCTGTGGAAGATGAGCTGAGAGTGGGTGCCATTCCTGATATTAAGCCTCGAATCCTCACAGACCAGGTTTGTGCCTGTGTCTACATCTTTTATCGTTCCTATTTGCTAAACCAGTCATGTCCTCAAACAGCTTGCATCATTCTTACATCACATTCAGCGCATTTGCCAAAGCCAGTGCAGGGGAAAAGTTTGCAGCTGTCATACACTTCACCTATTCCCATCTTTCAAAAGTACGTTTGTCACATCTGGAAAAAAAACATTTCACCATTTATTCTGCACGCGGAGGGGGAAAATACAGTGCTCATCCTCAAAATCAAGGGCTTGATGGAGCTTAAATTTATGTGCAGAGGTTAATCTAGGTCTGAAGGAATACCAAGTCTTCAGCACTGAACCCGATTATATACCACGAAAAGATTATTATCATTATACCACAGAACGCATCCATCGTCAGAAAACCTTGACTGTGACTCACCAGCGCATCATAGTAATTCTGCAGGGCTCAGTGTCGTGAATGCACCATGTGGGCTGGAATGTGACGCAGGTGAAGAAGCTGTATGTGTGTGTGTGTGTCGCTTTCACGCCGAAATAAACATTTGCTGTCGTCAGAAAAAAAAAAAAAAGGAATGTACTCCACTGGGCCTGCTGTGAGATTGTAATTGTTTTTACAACAGACTTCTTAAACAAATAGGAATGCGTGATGAGAATAGAGCCCAGCTCTGCAGCCCAATTTAGAGTGTAGTAAAGCAGGATTAGTTTGCAAGCCGTCCTTGGCTCAAACTATAGTCACAGCTGTAAAAGCAACACTCATGGTCTTGAGTGTTTCAGTTAATGGATTCACAGTGAAAGTAAGTGTTGAGAAATGCTTGTCCTTGGGATTAGGAGAGGTTTGTTTATTACTCTTAAGCGAGTGTGAACAGTTCTTTCCCATGGACAGAAAACCAAATTGAGATTTAAAGGAACAGTTCAGCATTTTCGGAAATACGTATAATTTGCTGTCTTGCGAAGACTTAAATGAGAAGATCAATACAAGTCTCGTGTCTGTATGTTAAATATGTAGTTGGAACCTTGCGGACGGCTAGCTTAGCTTAGCACAAAGACTGGACACAGGAGCAGTCATTTCCTGAGGTTTCCACTGATTGACAAAGCCCAGACCATCCGGGGCTGAGGTCTACATTTTTTTTCGGTGGTCCCTGCTGTTCTGCCCGGACACTACTGCCGAAATTCAGTTCAATTATATTATATGACTACTGCAGCCATTACATTTAATTTAATAGTGATGTTAAGACAATTGCTCTGGGCAAAATGGAGAGCTGCAGGTCAGCTGAGAATTCTCAAACTGATGGCACCAGTGTTTAATTGGTACTTTACTTTATTATTATTATTCATATTTTTATTATCATCATTATTGCTATGCAGTTGATTCAATGTGTTTGGGGCACATTCTAAAGAGTACAGTAACAACAATACACCCAGAGAGAAAGTACCAAACTCCCTTAAAATAATGTGGAGTTTTGTGAGTTTAGGGGAAACTTTATAAAACGCTGTTTACAACAAACTCTTAATTATTTGTCGCCTCTTGTAAATTCGGCTAATGTGAATAGGTGAGTTATTCTTGTCTTAATATAAACAAAAAAGAAGTCAGTTAGTCCTGGTGTGTCTAGTAGTTAGCTGTAACTTATATAACTCATGCTTATATGTTCACGTAACTTGGAACTCTACAGACATTTACACACTTTCTTGTCCTCGCTCAGCATGAGTTTATGCCACTGCTTCCCTTCTTTTAACCAGTAAAGCAATCTTCATATCAACGACTGACTGTGTAAGATGCACTAGCTAGTGATTGACAGACCTGTCGCCCAATAAGTATTTCCGCATATTTTCCTGTAAACCATCACTAAATTGTCTCGTCTTGCCTCCATTCTGTTTATTGAAGATACAAAATTACAACACTGCTGTCTTCTTTAGTGACAATTAACCACTCAGTGGAGAATTATTCAGGGCTAGAGAACAAAAAATCTTCAGAACAGAATGGCCAGGCGGCACCACTGGCCGTTTTTTTACCCGTTTCCAGTCGTTCTGCGAAGCTGTTGCAGACATAAGAGTAGTATTTTGGAGGGTGATCTTCTCATTTAACTCTCGTAAAGAAAGAAAATAAACTAATTTTTTCAAAATGTCAAACTATTCCTTTAAACTTAATTAAGCTGTAAACAGAGTAAGTAGTTATTTCATCTGTTTTCTCTCCCTTCCGTCTATCAACCAGGGGTACGGCCATCCAGGATCCTGACTGCGAATACCAAAGTGACCAGAGTTCCTGAAGGTCACTCAAGTGTAAGAAGATTCAGATCCTACAAAAAAAACCCTGAAGAGAAGCTCTGCAGTGGATCCAGCTGGACCACTGGAGGCTTCATCTCCCAGCGTTCTTAAAGAAACAACTTTGCACATATTCAAACTTTGCCTGTACCAGAACTTGACAATCAGTTTAGCGTGAGGACCTACGTGTGCAGTGAATTGTCTGCACATAATGACTGAAATATAAGCCAGTGCCACAACAATGGCAATACTGTACCTAATGAGTTTCTTTATTTAATAGGAAGAATGAGAAGAGATGCGTAAAGCACTGGGGATGAAGATGGATTCATGATTCTACCCGCTACAAGCAGCACACTTGCTTCTCACTTCAGTGGCTGCAGACAAAATTTAGAAAAGGCTTTAACAAGCACAATACCCCCTCATGGTGACCTGTGACAAGCAGCATGTTGTTAAATCAGTTGATCAGTCTATGGTCCTCAGAAGAAGGGCCCAAGCAAAGACCTATATTACTATTTGATTCTGATTAAATCAGTTAGTAACATATTCTCACTGCAAAACTCTTTTCACTGACAAAAGGTGGTTATCGTTATGATTTTGCATCCTTTCTAGTACAGCCATCAATCTGAATAGATGCCAAATGTATCTTACAATCAACTAACTGCTTTAAATACAATCTAAACCTTCTCGTCGGTAACATTTTCCTTCGGCACACAGTGTAAAGCCAGAACTAGTCTTTCAGTGTATAGAGGAAGTATTTCTTCAAGCTACTAAACCTTTTTAAAAAATGGAAATACTTTACATAAATCTGAAATGTGTTATTTTGTAATAATATTATTAATCATAATGACTATATATGACATTTCAAAACAGTGATACAAAGTGCTTCATAAAAGACCTGACATGAAAGAAAAATTGACTGAAAACATTGATTTTAAGGGGGCACTCGACCGATTTTGAAAACCATTTTATAATGTCTTCTGAGGCTCTGGAGGAGCCTTGTCAAGTCTGAGACAATAATATCTCAGCTTGGGCTTGGAGACTCCAAATGTATAACACAATGTCTGCTTTACAAACTGGGACAGTGGAGTTTGACAGGCGTGTGCATTAACCAAGCAATGAAAAGATGCTATTTGTTGCATTATAGGAAATGCAGGGTATTTTAAGTTAATGGAAGTGCAATACTACTTCACTGGATTTGCCCCGCCCCCTTTTAGGTAAAACAAACTATACTATATCTATTGAACATTGTCTTCAGAGAAAAGTTATGTTATCAGAAAAATCTGAAAGATGATAGTGACGACTACAGTTTCTCAAGCAGCAATAGCGAGGCTCCAGCTGATCTTTTAAAGCCTCAAAAGTAATGTATCAACCAGAGAAAACAATCATGGCTTTCATGTCTGCCATTTACACTAAATCTTTTTTGCCTTTTCACGTTTTGTTGTACAGCACTTTGTAACATTGGCTTGAAAAGTGCTGTTTGAATTGATTTTTTAATAACTATGATTATATACATTATGTGCAACTGAAAACAAATCATATTATAGCAAGTAGTGAATTACTCATCTGTTGTGTTAAATGTTTCTGAAGCATAGATGTGCAACAGTTCTGCATGTGCTTTTGAAATGCGAGGAAGAGTAAATCGATTTGTTGTCAGATATTATTCTAATGTACAAAAAAAGAAAACCTTTGACATGGCTTTCTTATTGGAACGCATCTTTTTATATCCAACCTGCTGACTCTTCCATTTTTTTTCAAAAGAGAGTGGCGTTCAGCCTTTTGCATATACAACATCAAAGTACTGAGAGAAATGACCACAAAACAGGAGCGACGGAGAAGACAAAAAGAAAAGAGTTTCCAAGCAGGGATATGTAGTATATGTGCATACAATTTGACTGCCTTACAGTCTGTGCCACAGGGCCCAAAATAACAATGCCAATACAAAAAAAACCTGTAAACTTTGTATATTAATTGTCCTATTTTGTAGTCGGGTGATGAATTAATAAGCAGTGTGTTGGTTAACTCTGTATGTTAGTCAGAATAATTTATATTATACAAAAATTCATGGTTGATATAATTTATCTCAACCTCTTGCCTTTAAAAAGATACAAAGGTTTATGTTAATGTTACCAGAAATGTATAAAATAGCTTAATGTATATCTATTCTTATATGTAAAATGTATTCAAATCAAGGGTAGGCCTTCAGGCATGTTTAACTAGTGGTAAAAATGGATTATTATATTAACTCTTAATGCTGCAATCCAGAGCTATAGTGCTATGGTGAGTCTGCGTTCATGGGATGAGAGCTGAATAAATTCCCAGCATAGCACATTTCTGTCCTCTGGAAAAATACGAGACGTTCTTAAAGTATCTCGCCTATGTTTGTGTAACCAAAATAGCAGTGGTGCTTTCAACAATACTGGATTGCAGTTTTAAGTTACCTTTTGAAATGTGTTTTATTTATTTGGCTGCATTGCAATACAGCATTTTGAAATGTTATACTGCACATCTTACCGCTTTTCATTTTGCAATCCATAAACTGGCAGATGTTTAAGACAAAAATCTATGATATGCCCATGTATTCTTGAAACTTTCATTGTGTTAGCTGCAGTGGTACAGTTTGCTACCTCTGGAATCTTTATACCACAACCTGACAGGATACTTTTTTTTTTTCATGTGGCTAGAAAGCCTCCCTTTATTTCAGAGACAATGCTAACAAAAAGTTATCATTTTAATGTTTTTTTCTGGTTGCTGGTTCATTACCATTTTAGAATTTCCTATGTATAACTTTTTGCCATTTCTAAAGTTTGTCCTGTTTACTATTGTATTTAAGTGCCATTACCATAATATTCATGCACATCTTTTAATTACAGGATGAGATTGATTGTGTTCCAGGTATTCGTCAGACTCTCAGGAACACAGAGGTTTTGCTAGCAAGAACTTTTGATATCTTCAATGCCAAATGCACAAACATTTTGAAACAATCTTTGCCAATTGGCCAGTAAAGCCAAATACAAATAAAAAAGAACATGGTATGAGGCGTCTGTGCTTAGGCAACTACACTGCTTATATTTTGGTTGGTTCTTGGCCCACTTCTCATCCATATAAATGGTTTAATTTATGCCTTCTCTTGTATTATTTGTTACATAAAAAGGGAAGATGAGTTTTGATTCTCGGCCCAAATGAAAAACGTGACAAAAGATCCAACGTAAAGCTTGGGTAAAGCTTGGTGAGGAATATTATTGAAGTTACTGGTGAATAAGTGCTTTATGTTTACAAAATAATGAGATTTTACAAGACGTATGAACCTTCATTGACCCAGGGGAGAGTAACCTTTGCTGCAGCTAAAGCAGGACCTAATAAATGAGATATCGTGTATATTTTAAATAAGTGTATTTAACACCCATCAACACATTTAGTTTCTAAAATGGATGTATATTATTAATGGAATGAAACGAATATTTTTCTTGGCAGCTATTATTCTGCACAATTAATCTACTGTGTCACAAATATATAGTTGGTGGGATTTCTGACTTGAATTGGGCCTACTGGATGTAATACCTTAATTTACTTGACATTTCTTTGAAATAAGCCATGCCCCATGGATAAGCCATACCCTCCAGTCCCCTGATGTTGTATGGTGGATGTTTAATGTTGGTAGTTTTATTTATAATGGTAGTTATGTAGGTATGATTGCGCTTGTAATTATTCTTATTAGTGTAAGTACACTTGATTGATATGATTTGTTTTGTTTGAACTAAGGGAATGTATTCATTTTTCAGGTGATTTTTCCGAGTGATTTAAATAAACTAATAAATCCCTAAATGAAAATCTTTATTTTAACTATCAAAGTGAGCAACTTAAGCATTTTTAGAAATTTGACTGAAAGAATGGTATGGTTACATTAATGTATATGAGGGCCGTAGCCACCTATCTAACAGTGTGTGTGAGTGACACAACCCTCCAAGGGGTCTGATGTGAATTCTGCCCAAATATATTCAAGTAGAAATTTTGTATATATACACATGATCAAATAAGAATTTATACCAATGTAGTGGTAAGTAACAAACAATAAACTGTACTTTTTCCTTAAAAGAATTTTCTTTTAAAAGAAAAAAAAAAACTGACGCACTAGCTGAGTAGTGTTTCGAATGTAAAATATTGACAGTAAAAATATGAAATGAAGTAGATGCATTTCATGTCAAATACAAAAATTGTTAAACTTTCTTTGACATACAATACTATAACTTTTTTTGACAAACTAGTTTTTTCGATATGCTATACTATGACATACTATATATTTTTTTAATGCTTTCTCACCTTACAGGTTTCCATGGATCGTGGTTATATCTGGACCGCGGCCGATCCTCCTGCGTAGACCCTGCTGACACCCACTGCTACTTTCACTATTATTATTACTCACATTACTATTACTGGTACCATTACTGCTTTTATTATCATTATTAATCCAATGTTGCCGTTATAAATAATTCATATAATGAGTAGTAAGCAGAATAACAATGAAAAAATCAAAACTACTCTGCACATATGTATTGAATGCGTTGTATTTCTGTTATGTTGTTCTTTCTGTACACATGACATCTATTGCACTTCTGACCAACAGAGGATGTCGAATGTGTACAGATTGTAAAGTCCTCGGAGGCAAATTCGTGATTTTGGGCGATACAAAATAAAATGAATTGAATGAATAAACTATGATGTCTGGAATTTATTCGACATGCTATACTATGCCTTCTTTCGACATGCTATATACTATATACTATGACCGTTTTTGACTTTATCCGACGTGCTATATACTATGACCGTTTTTGACTTTATCCGACATGCTATATACTATGACCGTTTTTGACTTTATCCGAC